AGGCGTCATAAACAGACTGATGTCCTCTCTGACGTACACGCAAACTGCAGCCCGAAGCACAAAGGAGTGTTCCAGTTTGTACCCCGGTTAGGTTAGGTTAGATACGAAGTATAATAGATACAAAGAAGAAGCCGATGAGGACACTCGTGTCGCGGTCAGAAAGAGCAGGGCCGGCTTCGTCGTCGTAACGGAAGGCGTTTAAGTTCGAGTGAAGTCCCCTGATATTGCAGAGCAGAATTTTGCCCCCCCCCCTGAGAGTGAGAAAATACGTGGGACAGCCTTTGTCCGCGATGGACTACTAAACTACTTAATTACTTCTTAACTTCTCTAAACGATTTTAATCAAATTTGCACACCGTGTGCAGTTTGGCCCAACTTGAGAGATAGGATAGTTTTTTTTTGCCCATGGACATGACAAAGGGTTGTCGAAAAAAGGGCAAGTTGTCTGGCGAGCTAGTATATAATATATATATATATATATATATATATATATATATATATATATATATATATATATAAATATATATATATAATGATTTCATAAATTTACTCGAACACTACACAGTGAATAAAACTATATATACGGATTTTATCGCGTTTAATTAACTTAGGTCCCGGGGCGAGATGTTGGACGTCTCAATGTCATAGTTAGCCCAGCGACCTTCAGTTTTTGGATACTGATTTTTGATCCGATCTACATAGAACGAGCTTACAGTCTTGAATTTTTGCAGTGGCATGCTTGGGTTTGGGTACATTTTGTTAATTATAGGATCTCAAGCAAATGGCAACACCTATCCATCAACTGTGGCCGGCTTCACTCGGTCCGTAGACAGAGAAACCTATAGACAAATTGACGCCTTCTTTCGCATTCGCACACGAAAAAGATAGATTTATGCATACGTCTTGCATAGAAATGAGATAGAGCGGTGTGATTGTTTGTCCCTTTCACCGTGCCGGTTTTTTTGTTTAGCAAACTCCACAGTTTGCTAAACAACTTTGAAAGCGTAGCGATTTAAGGAGTTTACACTTCAAGTTGGTTTAAGTGAGAAAAAAGTGTTTTGTGAGCCTAAGATTGGTGAATCTTGTTCAGTTCAGTTCTTAGAACAATTAAATTTTTTATCTAAATGTGTTTATAAGTCATAAAGATTATTGTATAACCTAAAAATTTGTTATCGTCCTTTCTCACTCGAGGCCACGCCGATCATTAGTCTATAGGTTTCTCTGTCTACGACTCGGTCGCTGTGACGTAGGCGTAGGACCCAAAGCTTGTTGTCTTGTTATACTTGCTTGACGTGCTGAAGCTCGGCGGCCAGATGTTTTCTGTCACACATCCCTTGTGCTCTCTGAAGCAAAGATTTACACATGGTAGCTAACTGTGAAGAATGATGGTGAGATTCAACCATTTAAATATCGGTTGATATGGGTCTTTTTCCTATACATAGTGTGACCAATAGTGTTATCAGCTAAAGAATTATTTGCCTCTTACTCCGTTGTGAGTTGTATTTTAGAGTTTCTGGAGTTAAGGTGGTCTAAAAGTCCAGTTGCTTTGTCGGATGGTAAAATTGTGAAAGTGTCGTCTATGTACCGCTTGTAGGATCTTGGATTTACTGGAGCAGTGGGAGGGGGTTTTCTCTTCAAAGGTCTCCATTAACATGTTGGCGACTATAGGAGATACAGGTGAGCCCATCGCCACACCACCAACTTGCTTGTAGAAAGAACTCTTGCTTCTACAATAGACAGTAATACTGCATATTCTGCAGGCATGTTGTTATCTTCTAGCTTCCTAGTTACAATTGATATGCAGTCTTCAATAGGTAGGCATGTGAATAGTGACGACACCAAAACTGACCATAGTTTCTTTGTCAGCGAGATGTAGGTCTTTTATCCCTTAATCAGGCATCACAAAAAGGATAGTTATAGAAGTGAGCAAACTTTCGTATGTTGTTTTTAGTAGTTCCAGAAGTCGATAATTTTTTTTTTGATTTTTTTTCTTTTTTTTTTTTTTTTTGGAAATTTATGTGGGAGCTATTCTACCATTGCCCAAGTAGAGTGGACATTACTTTAATGTGATTGAAATTTTGAAATATTTTTTAAGTGTCTTATTTTCTTCTATAAAGTCACATTATTATAAAAATAAATAAGTCATTTTTACTGACAAAAATATTTAATTATTTATTATTGTATGGAACGACTCCCAACATGACACAAAGCAGAGTGGTAGTTGACATATCTTGCATTCGAAGTATGTTTTAACTTCTTTTTCTCTCGTACTGCTAAAACGGCATCTCCTATATGAGCCCTTTTTACCGTGATGCTGACCAGGGCTTGAGAGCCGAATCTCATCGGGTATTCCAAAGACACCACCCTTTTTCTTTATGAAATTGCCTGGCTTATGTTTTCTTTGTAAATATCTGAAAAGGTAAATTTTTCAATATGTAAAATGTTGCAATGTGTATTATGAAGCAAATTTAGACATTATGTCATGTAGAAAATTTTACAAACCCATTTATTAGTGCTCTTACAAGACGTAGTCAAAAAGCACTATGGATGTTGTCTCTCTTTCTAGTTTGGCAGTATAGAATGTATGCATTTATGATAGGACTTTCAAACATAAACCAAAATAGAAGTAACCATGTTTTTCTCGATTTTCTTCCAATAGGAAAGGAGCTGCGAAAGTGATCAAATTTATCAACTCCGCCCATATATTGAGTTATAATATGTAGTTATTGCAATAAGGCAGAACATGTCTTTCAGTTTGCCATTTTTTTTTGTTTTCTCTTGATGACAGAAACTTCAGATGGATTTACTGCAGTTGACAAAATATGGACATCTTTTGTATCGTGCCATTTTATACATCCAACTGGGGAACCATAGCGAAAAGTAAACTCACCGGGAGCAAGCTTCATCAGTTCTTTTTTCTTCATTTTCGTCTCTTCACTGACCCCAGATTTTTTTTGAAGTGAATTCTTCTGGCATTCCTTTTCTTGTCAATCGCACTGTGCCAACACTATAAATATTTCTTTTTAATCGAGGAATTCTAGTGAAGAAGTTATCAAACACAACTAATGAGCCAGCAGGTACATTTTTAGTTAGTTTCAAAACAACTTTGTATCCCAGACCTTCTTCACTTGGAGCTTTTTCTTGACATTCTAAAGCCTGGAAAAGTGACAAAAACAACATTTATTATGAATACTACTGACAAAACGGAATCTACGACCGGACCATAACCGTATATCTCCCACATATTTCCAAGAGTCAAAGACAGTTGACTGTAACATTATTCATTAAAATTTGTATGCTCTTATAAAGTTACATTTCCAATTAATAATATATTAAAACGACCACGACTTACCACGACTCACCTGTTCTTATTTTCTAAATAAACAAATTTTTATTACTCAGCACTGAAAACTAACGACAAAGACCGTTACCGAAAAATTATTGTTTAAGTGTCAGTTTGACATAAGACTTTTGACACTTTTCTTTTTTTTCTTCCTTCAAAAATGTATCTAAGAGTATAATCTATGACAAATTGTGGAGAAATAGTAGCCAAGGTTTGTTTAGGAAAAACATAAGTTATGTGGAAGCTATGCTCCTACGGCTTTATTAAGGGTTATCTCACTAACAAAATGCTGTAAATTCTTTGTATGTGCTCTGGTATGTCCTCTCGGTGGTGACAGTATTTTTGCCAAGTGTTGTACCTAAAAGTAATATTATTAATTAATAAACCATACGGTACGTGTTTCAAATTTAGATGTACTTAATAATAATAATAAGATATTACTAAAGTTCGTGTAACACTAGAATAACAATATAACATCACATTATAGCTTTCACTTGTTTTATGATTTACAAATCTATTAAAAATAGTTTATTTTCGACGTGTAACATTCGCCTAAATATTAGAATATCACGTTTCAATCAACCACTTAATGCTATTACCTATTGTGTAATCTACATTGATACTACACTTTAAAAAAATGTAGAAGCCCATACTAAAACTGGCAAGTATAGAGATGGTATAACGGAATCCAACAGCCTGCTACGGTTTTTCATAATATGAAGATTGTCTTCTGTGAAGTGTCTTGAGCATAGCACACTATTTTTGGTGGGGAACCATTGGTCCCCTCGACAAGTAGCGTCGATCCACATCTTTTTCCTTTCGGGGCATTTAGGAAACCTATAGCATATAGATATCACAATTATATGCCACTACTTGTATAAAATAATGATGACAAAAAAAAAAGTAAACGATGACCAAACAAATATCGACTTATAAATCACAACACTATCGATACACGTGCTGTCGTTAGACAAAGACAACTATTTTAATTTATGTAATGAGTGAAAGAGACATTTCAAAAATACATAAACGGGTGCTTAATTGATATCACTTTGCACCATTATATTGCCAGTATAAGTTGAATTCCGGTGCATTTGATGGTAACGTGATAAGAATAGAATTTACTTACCGATGAAATATTATGCCATCTTTTTGATAACTGGATTACTTAGCTGACTTGCCACACCATTTCACTGCACAAGAAGCCATTTGTAATGTATTTTGGATACAAAATTATTTTTAAATTTTCAAAAACTCGGACGTTCCTACGGGTCACAAGCTTGGTTTAAAATGATGTCGTGATTCTTAGCGGCACTTCATATGCTAGCTACAGCAAGCATGTGTTGCGCGCGTTTATGGCCCTGTATGCGGAATCTATTAGGGGTAATCTGTGGCCTCCGGCCACCTGCACTCATCAGACGTAACGCGGAAGCAAAACTTCCACTTTAAGCCTGTATTCTGTGAGGTCTCCCGGCTCAAATCGGCCCATACGTGCAACAGCAAAAGCTGCCGCGTGGCTTATTAGAAATTTAGATTTATGAAATTTTAATACGAGTGCTTATCTACCGAGCTATAATGGCTCTTTATGTATTTTTATAATAAAATGGATAGTCTAATAAAACAAAAACTAGTAATATCGATCATTTATTTATTGATTTTTATTCGTTATCAGGTTCGTTGACATTTTCCTCTCGGCTGGATTCATAAACTACATCGTCTTTATTTTGTCTGTCACTCGATTTACCATGTTTAGCTTGTTTTTTTGATTCAGTTTTCTCTTTCTTTAAACTTCTGTGTTTGTTCCCAGACTTATGCTTGCTTTTATTGTTCTGATGACCATATGGTGCTGCTTTCTCCACTTTCTTACTATTCTTTTGTCTTTTATTGGATTTAGCTTTAGCTTCTTCACTGTCGTCTGAGCTAAATTCATCAGAACTATCTTTTTTCTCTTTTTTTAATTCTGCTTTATGTTTACTGAAATAATTGCATTCCTTTTAATTAAAATTTTGTGACTAACAGAGGAAAATGAAACAGATGGGCTGATAAAAACGTGTACGTGGCTGTAATGAATTAATGAATAGCTTCTGAAGTAGAGACTTTAATTTTTTCTATATGCTAAGTCTTAACCTACTTCTAAAGTGGTAGTGTTATCATTCAACCGTTTGGTTTTTTATTGTTGTTACCTTTTTCTAAACCAATTTTGCATGCATGTTTCAAGGATTTCTCATATCATTTAAGGTAATTTTCTTAAATGAACAACCAAAGGGTAGAAACATTGGATATGAATTTATTACCATAAGCTAATACTGCTTAGTCCACTCAAAAGGATTGACTAATTAAACATAAAAAGAGTCAAAATCCGACTATAATAAACTAAGACGAATAAAAAAATTTCCACATAACTGAATGCTAAGATAATTTTTTATACAATAAGGGTGACAAACGAGTATGCAGTCCACCTAATGGTAAGTGGATGCTGTGGCACATAGACATCTACATCTATCCTCGATTAAGAATTAAAATATAGATGCGTTACCACCTCAGAGGACTGAGATGGAATGCCTCGTTTCCAGTAAATAGGGTTCACTAAACTCATCATACGAAACACAGAGCATTAAGCTACTATTTGACGCTGGTAATCTGTGAGAGCGTGGTCCTTCCCCGGTCGAGCCGACCCATTCGTGCTACAACCATAATACAATGTATAAGTCAGTGTTTATGGGCCCACCCTGTGACTTCAGTAGCAACTATAATATGTGAAGTTTATCTTATTCTTTTAATGTCGTTTTTCCTTTTTTCATGGATTACCATTAAACCGTAAGTGACTAAAAGTAGATACAGCTTTTACTTCTAGCTAGTTGTATGACTGCATAAACGTAGACTGAAACGCAAGTGAAATACTACAATCAGATATTGACTGTCTGTGTCTTGTGTATGTTACGTTATTATAAACGGACAATAAATTCAAACACATACAGATAAAACTTTGAAAAAAGTAAGATAACAGCCAACATACATAAAATGGGGGTTTTTGGAAATGAAAATCATGGAAAGGTCCATTGCACCGCGCCAATGCGTGTCGGTGGTCTAAATAATCACAAAGTTTTTAAAATTTTGGACGTGTAGGTTTCCTCATGATGATTTCTTTCAATTCGCAAAGTCGCAAATTTGCATTGCATGCATTTAAAATTTTTGATCAACGATTAGCTAGCCATTTATGCTCTTAACCAAAAATGACTAACTACTAAAAACCCGTTGAGAAATGAGAAGAGAATTGCGCCCAGTGGGTAGACAGACAGACGTATATAATATATGCTGTTACTTTACTTTTATAAATTCAGACATTGTCAATTCTATATTGATGCGCTTGTAATAGAAAATATAAATAATATACTTCTCTCTTAGACGTTTATCTTCATCGCTGGAATAATAATAAAACTGTATTAACTGCTAGTGTTACATGATTTAAACAATGAATATACAAAAGAAATTGCCGCATAATGGGTGCGTTTGGCAGAAAAAAGCGCTAGCAAGCGCTTGTAAGCAAAATGGCAATCGTAAGCGGTAAGCGCTGTCAATCGTAAGTAGCTATTTTCCTCTAGGACACGAAGTTAGTTTTAACCGGGGAACCTAACCTAATTTAAATATATGTTTGTAAAGTATTCATATTAAAAACTTACCAATTATGAATTTTTCATGCAACATGTATAATATGTTTATTCGTGTCATTATATTACTTAAAACTAATATTGCACAAAACAACTTATAAACTCTACTTCAAAACAAACAAATTAAATAAGCAAAATGGCGGATTGTGTCAGCGCTACTGAAGTTAGCGAACGTGTCCTGGCCGAAAACTGTTTAGTTTCGCCATTTTGCTTAAAAGCGCTTGCTAACGCTTTTTTCTGCCAAACGCACCCAATGTAAGTAATTTCAGCGATGTAACTTAATTATCCGAAAGATGGGAAATACTTTTTAATGTCTCGCCACAACCATAACTCAAAATCCGGTATTTAGAAATAATCTAGTTGAAATTTAAACTTTAAGAATTTTTAAAATTTAAGTTCTGGACTAAAACGTAGTAACTTTGATATATACATAGTCTGTGGTCTAGACAGTGGTCTAGAAATATGGGCTTAAAGTTTACATATAAGATTGATCCTTTAAAAAAATTGGTGCCGTTTAGGTAATCCCAATACAAAATATTAACAAGAAGTTAAAACGCGTCTTGGATGAAGTTTAATATCTAGCAATGAACTGACTCTTTGTAACGAGAAAATTATACCTAGTTGTAATAACTCAAAGACATTTAAGTATATATATATATATATATATATATATATATATATATATATATATATATATATATTTAAATCTCTTTGTAATAACTACTATATTTTCAATATTGCTAGAAAAAGGTTTAAAAGTTTTTGGAGACTAATTACAAACTATATTTAAGCTTTATAGAAAATAAAAATTGTACCTTTCATCTGAGCTTTTGTCGTCTTTATCTCCACTGTTAAGCAATTATAATTATTTTTTTATTTAATTAAGCTATTTATTATAATATAAGAAGAAAATAAAACAATGCTTACCGGTCATCGTCATCTCTGTAAAAGATTAAATTATTTAAATAGTAAAAATAAACTTGGATGGTATAAGAGAATGGTGACTGTGGTGACGAAAAAAGAGAAGCGACTATGGGAAATGCTCGAAATATGTTATGAATTCCGATAGATAGCGGTGTAATCATCTCGGTACATATAACCCCGGCAATACATCATGTTAGCCAAGCCTCCGCCAATGCGAAAGTAGGCAAATTGATACAAGGCGAGTGCTACTGTCTACACGTTTTATTTCTATTTTTTTATATGCGAGCAGCTATGCAGGTCTAGGGAAAGAGATCAGTATCACTGCGACCTACAAGATCTATTGTGATCGCTGCTATGGCTATAGTTCACGGCTAAGCCCTATGTCTTCAATGAATCGAAGGAGTTGCTTAGCCGTGAGCAATTTCACTTCTTCTGGGCGGAGTAGTAGTAGTAGAGTAGTAGTTCCCAGACGAGTGTTACGTTTGCGCATTAAGGGTCCGTAATCAGTTAGGATGTGTAGAGGCGTTTCATCCGTTATGGAACAGAACTGACACATCCTTGAGTTGCTTAGTCCCAGGATCGACATGTGTTTTTTAAGAAAACAGTGTCCAATTAGGGCTCTTTCCAGAATGCGCAATTTATTTTTGCTTGATCCCAGGGCTTCTGAAGCAAATTTACGACCAAAAGCCCGGATTAAGGTTTTAGAATGTTTTAAGCCTGGTGTGTCAGACCAGATCTTAAGTGATTTATTGTGATAAAGAGTTTCAAGGGTCAATCGGGCTAGGCTTCTTGGGATTCCACAAAATGGCTTAGGTCCAAATTGTGTGCACTGTGAGCCCTCCCGTGCAAGTTTGTCGGCAAATTCGTTGCCTACAATACCCTCGTGACCCGGAACCCATCTTAAAACGACCCTGTTGTTACATCCCAGGGCGTTTAAACGGTTCATGCAGTTTCCAACTAGCTTCGAGTTCACTAAGTTTGACCTCAGCGCTAGCAGTGCTGCTTGGCTATCAGAGTTTATGTAAATTTTATGGTTGACGTAGTGTTTTTGTAGATTGATTTCCGCACACCGAAGTATGGCGAAAATTTCTGCCTGGAAGATAGAGGTGTATCTACCCAAATGCATACTAAGTTTGAATTTGGGGCGTTCCCCGTAAATTCCAAAGCCTATGTCGAGGCCCATTTTAGACCCATCGGTATACCATACCAGGCTACCGACCTCACAGATAACCTGGCCATTCAGCCAGTCTTCTCTGGAGGGTAATTCCACTATATAATTTTTATCAAAACTGTGTAGTGGACGCATGATATCTGAGATCATGCATAAGATCGGTGATTCCTTAATTGAATCGAGTATGGATCTCAATCTGCAGGAAAGCAAGCTCAGACCGCCCTGGGCAGAGGGCTAGTTTAAATCCTATTTAAACTAGCCCTCGCCTCCTTGTCTAGATAGAGATCAAGGGGCGTTAGGCATAGAAGTGCATTAAGAGCCGCTCCAGGCGATGATCGCATAGCTCCATTTGCCATTAGGCAGGCTGTCTACACGTTGGTCAAGTTGTAAAATGACCAATGCCAAGACAAATGTTCACGATTTTTTGTGGAGCTATCCACATTTTGGCCGTCATTAGTTGTCATTGAGGATTGGAACGATATGGACGACGAAGAAGTTATTGCAGCTTCTGCTATTTATTAAAAAGAAGAGACAGTAAAGTTATTAAAAAGAAGAGACCCGAGTGCGGGCGAACGCCTTTGATTTGTGCAAAAAAACCGACACTGTTCCGAAGTGAACGAGTTGTAGCGAGCGATTCCGAGTGGCGGCAAGGCACGCTAAACGAACCGTATACACGATGGCACTCGCCTGCACTCGGCCAGCTAGGCGAGCGTCGACGAGCAATGACGAGCCTGGACTAATGGGCTGTCTATACGTTAGTGCTCGTCTTCGCTCGGTCAACATGTATAGCCGGCTTAAAATACAAAGACCAGCCATGTACAGCAGTTTAATCATGTCTAGCGCTGCAATCGTCAATCCGCCTGTTACGTGTGCCAATTAAAGTAAATCCTCTAGCCACCTCACTACAACGGGATAATACTAGTGCGAGCAGCGCTATGCGTGCGAGCGTGATGGTCACGAGAGTTCAGTGCCTTTTCCCGGTCCCAAAAGAGCTATATAAAATATAGCTCTTTTGTATATAGCTCCCTTATATATAAATACACACATCTGTATTATACGTATCTGAGCGTGATGATCGCGCGAGTTTAGTGCTTTTTCACCATCTCAAAAGTGCCCAACGTGTCTAAAGAAAATTTTAGTTCAAATTTTTTCACCTTCTCTATTTTACGCATTTATCTCGGACCCTGTAGTTTGTTTTGAATCTGGCATTTAGTGACGATGTACAAAGAAATCGTATAATCTTACTCGTCCACGTTGTCCCAGTTGACGGACCATTCTTCATGCGTAATACCCGACCGGAATACACGTCTACAGGTCTCCCTGAAAATGATGCCAATATTATCTTATATATTTTTGTATAATGAAAATATTAACATGTAGGTATGTATTATACATTTATTGTATCTGCCATCATGTTAGAGTTGGGGTTCCATCTATTCATTTAGACATGTCGCAACTCTATTCTTTAACCAGCCAGTTAGTTGGACGACTAGGTGAGGACAAAGTTACGTAAAGAATAATTAAATTGTACTACTTATAATATTTGAATTAAGTTCAAAACTGAAAGTAAAGGTATCTATAAATAAATCTGTTATAGTTATGAAAGTGAAGGAAATTATATTTAGGTAATGCAAAAGAACTGGCACAGGAACCAGGCAAACAGTCAACTGCACTTTACCCATTACTTAATAATTCGGCGCGAGATTACAGGTGTATGTATTGTGGCGGTTGGGGTTAAAAATAAGGCAACAACCAGTCATAAAAAAAAATTATATATTGGTAAAAGAAAAGGTCGTGGGCGTGGTTCCGATAATTTTAAAAAAAGTGCCCGTCTGGCTCCACTGGCAGGGTCAGGTACTCCCCTATGTGGCCGCGAGGTGGTCGAGCAGGGCCGGGGGGTTGGACTGTTCACGGGGAGCGCCGTGGGCAGCTGGCTGTGGCGGTGGCGGCGTCGAGGGGAGGCCTAGGCCCTCTTAAAAAAGGACGACCGCCACGGTTGTAGTCGTAAAATTGCACCCCTTACGGGGTGCAAGACGATACGGAGGTCTCGGTGACGAGAATTAACAAAAAAAACTATACGGCCACAGTGCCGGAATTATTATATTATTTTAAACTTTTTCCAAAATGGGATTAAAATTTGCAAGCGCGTACGAGGACACAAAGCAGAGCTTGTGAACGCGGCTGCAGTGGTAGTGTGCGCCTCCCAGGGCGCTCGGGCGGAGAATCGTCGGGAGCGCGACGCCGTGGAATGATACCGGCCGGGTAAAACTCTGGCGCGAGAGTTGCAAAGCGCATAGAGTAACGAAGCGTCAGAGTGTTTGTTCGAAATACAATATTTTAATATTTGATTTATTATTTAATTCGTTCTTTTAGTTTACTGATTTGTTTTATTAATAGGATACCTAAGTTAATTATAGAATTATTTTTGTTAATAACTTTTATTTTATTTTTTATTTAGTTTATTAAATGTTTATTTAATTTTAATAAACCGTTTAATTATAATTATGCATACATGTACGTGCAACGTTACAGTACCCCGCGCGCTACATAAGGATTTTATTACTCTTAATTAATAAAATCCGCTCTAAATTGTTATGTATTCGCATTATCCTTTTATACAACATCTCTCATACTTCACGCGATTATATCAGCGTCAACGAACATCAATAGGGTAGTTGACGCATCCTGTCATTTGGCAAGGTGTTCCAGCATCGGCTAGACTGGAAGACCCATACGAATACCTAGAGCTAAAGATGTAAAAGTGTGAGCAGGGTAAAACGAGCACCATGTATATATATAAATATAACGCTAGTGTATTCCTAAGTAACAAGCAGAACACATGCAACTTAATTAAGTGTACTTGTAGGTGTAACATGGAGATCTTGTGATATTGCAGTGATGGTTGCTAGCCCATCTCCCACAACACACTACTACCCTATCCCTTAGTCGACTTTTACGACACCCACAGGAAGAAATGGGGTGGTGCTATTCTAACCCGACACCACACGGGGAAGTACACACTTTAAAAAAAAGTGTATACATATATGACTAAGTATTGTGTCCTGTTAATGTCATCCTGATGCCAGTGCAATCTCTTTCCGACTGTGTCAGCCAGGATGAACGGGGTGCCCCCCTAAATGGCAACTCTCGAGTGTAACTCCGAAGTTTGCAATCGTGGTAACCGACTGTGTCGCCGGGGTGGCACCTCTAATGGCAACTTCGTATTCTAACTCCGACTTTGCAACGATAGGAATTTAACCGAGTGCGCCATTATAACACGCGTATAACCGCAAAGAGGTAAGTGTTGAGTCGTTACTGACTTAATCTACTGCGTTCCGTTACAATTATAATATCAGGTACTAAGAACGTTCTGGTTGACTAAAACGATTGGCGTATAAAACAAGCAGTAAAAAGAATAAAGCAACTGCCACCAAAATAAAAGAAGCAGCGCAACAAAAAATTAAAATACGCAACTAATGTGTACTCGAACAATTAAATAAAACAACAACAAGATAATAATAATATGCCTAAGAATTAAAATAAAAAAACAATTGATTGAATAATTTAAAATACTACCAACGCATGCGTGACCCAACTGAACTAGAGTTCTGCAGCAACAATAGGGAATAGTTACAATTCATAAAATTTCAATAATAATAATATCACAGAAAAAAAAACCACGAGAAAAAAAACCTACTGCAGAATAGAATAGTAATACCTCGGAACAATATTAAATTTACCCTATCACAGATTACACAGTGACCACTCTGCACGCTAACTACTCTGTACAATGATAGAACGTAAACAACATAGGGTAGTGCACGGCATAGAGTGATTACGAAAAGTTGTTCGAAACTAAACAAATTCTTAGTTAGGGATTAAAGTTTATGATCTCTCAAATAATAAAAGTAAATAAATAAATCAATTGAAATTCAATAAAATTCCTAAAACAAACACAATGATGAAATTCGTACACATTAGTTGCTGCAACCAAAAAACAAAAAAAAACAAAAACGTTTCACAAACACAAAACGACACAAACACCAACTACTCCTACGCAGTGAAACCAGACCTTTTTTTACCACGTTTATGGGCGCCAGTGTGCCGGTTGGGGTTAAAAATAAGGCAACAACCAGTCATAAAAAAAAATTATATATTGGTAAAAGAAAAGGTCGTGGGCGTGGTTCCGATAATTTAAAAAAAGTGCCCGTCTGGCTCCACTGGCAGGGTCAGGTACTCCCCTATGTGGCCGCGAGGTGGTCGAGCAGGGCCGGGGGGTTGGACTGTTCACGGGGAGCGCCGTGGGCAGCTGGCTGTGGCGGTGGCGGCGTCGAGGGGAGGCCTAGGCCCTCTAAAAAAAGGACGACCGCCACGGTTGTAGTCGTAAAATTGCACCCCTTACGGGGTGCAAGACGATACGGAGGTCTCGGTGACGAGAATTAACAAAAAAACTATACGGCCACAGTGCCGGAATTATTATATTATTTTAAACTTTTTCCAAAATGGGATTAAAATTTGCAAGCGCGTACGAGGACACAAAGCAGAGCTTGTGAACGCGGCTGCAGTGGTAGTGTGCGCCTCCCAGGGCGCTCGGGCGGAGAATGCGTCGGGAGCGCGACGCCGTGGAATAATACCGGCCGGGTAAAACTCTGGCGCGAGAGTTGCAAAGCGCATAGAGTAACGAAGCGTCAGAGTGTTTGTTCGAAATACAATATTTTAATATTTGATTTATTATTTAATTCGTTCTTTTAGTTTACTGATTTGTTTTATTAATAGGATACCTAAGTTAATTATAGAATTATTTTTGTTAATAACTTTTATTTTATTTTTTATTTAGTTTATTACATGTTTATTTAATTTTAATAAACCGTTTAATTATAATTATGCATACATGTACGTGCAACGTTACAGTATTCACAGATATACGAGTAACATTTCGTACGTACTGTCCCGGTGCAAATTGTGTCTTTCGTACATTGAGTTATTAATATATTGGGTCCTTACATATGAAATTAGCGTTTTGTCGTACCGACCACTTTGATCTAAAATATCTCCTCTTTGGTTAAGAATTCCAAATTCAAATTTATAAATTCATTTAGCTGGTACATTTGAGTTTTGAAAACAGTTATTCATTTGTTTTTTCCTCATAATTTTTCTTTGGCATTTTGTTACGCACAATGGAAAGCATGAAATATTAATGATGATTGACATTAATATGCATGCATGACACCAGCGCCGTATGAATATAAGCCAAGAATACAGCCATAATGATTAATGATGTGTACGGCGCTGGTGTCCCAAAAGAAAACACAAAGTTTTTGGTTTCAACGTTTTCGTTCTGGAAATTTAGACCTTCAGAACCAACCCCGTGGACGGCCGGAGGCCAAAGTGGAAAATGAAGAATCAAAAGCTATTGTGAAAGCGGATCCATCACAAAGCACTTCAAAGATAGCTGCAGGCTTTGGGGTAAGTGATAAAACTGTATTATTCCACTTGAAGCAACTCTGGAAAGTAAAAAAACTTGAACGATGGGTACCTCATGAATTGAGTGAATCGAACTTGACAACACGTTTCGACTGCTGTGTTACTTTGCTCAACCGACGCAAAAATGAAGGGATTTTAAATCGAATCATTACTTTTGATGAAAAGTGGATACTTCACGATAATCGGAAGATCGGAATCGACGCTCGTCGCAATTTCTGAACCCTAGGGTTCAGAAATTGCGACGGGCGCCTCAAATCCAGCCAAACCCTGCCCTAAACGAAAATTGACTCAGCAAAAGTTACTTGTGAGTGTTTGGTGGACTAGCGCCGGTGTCGTTCACTACAGCTTTATAAAATCTAGCCAAATGATTACGGCAGATATCTATTGTCAGCAACTGCAAACCATGAATGGAGAACTAGCTGCTAAACAACCGAGATTAGTCAATCGCTCTAGGCCACTGCTGCTTCACGATAAAGCACGACCACACACTGCACAACAAACAACCACTAAGTTAGATGAGCTACAATTGGAAAATCTGCGACATCTACCGTACTCCCCGGACCTTGCTCCAACAGATTATCATTTTTTCCGGAATTCGGACAATTTCTTACAATGAAAAAAATTCAACTCTGATGCGGCAATCCAAACCGCTTTCAAAGAGTTTATTGATTCTCGCCCCCATGGTTTTTTTTAGTAAAATGATCAATGAACTACCTATGAGATGGCAAAAGTGCATAGATAACAACGGTGCATACTTTGATTAATTAAATATATTTTACAAAAATAAATTGATTTTATATTCGTCGCGTACAATCCAATTTCATAATATGTAAGGACCCATTATAAATCAATGCTTTCGTCCAACCGTCATTATAAATGGAGAAAAGGACTGAAAAAGGGCAGGTAAGGTGAGGGGGGGGGGGAGATTTATGCGAGCTCACGTATGTATAATATTTGCAAAGGGATAGATTTTTAACGTACAATTCATAATCATTCTAGTGCCGTAATTTTTTCAAGTACATACGAGTATTCTAGAGAGAATCAGATAGAGCCCTGCCAGGAGGGAACTAGGCTAAATATCCGAAAACTTGGAGAGTTAAAAAATAAACTAACATTTGATAAGTATGAAAAATTGGCCTGTGATTGTCTTAAATCAAAATTATATTACATTTACAGATCCTATCCAGGCAAAGTCACGACAGGTCGCTAGTCTGTAATAAGCTTCAAATCACGTTGACAAAGTGCGGATATAAATAATGACAGCGTTTTCTTAGTCAAATTAAAAAATATCTGTGTTCGATTGTCGAAAACAACGTTCGCGGTTTATAAAACAAATAAAACATAGTGCGCAATGCACTAAGGTCGCAGAACTGGTCTACTTGTATATATATATATATATATATATATATATATATGTATATATACATATATATATATATATATATATATATATATGTAAGTGCATGGTTGCCGCAGTAGTCGCGCCTTATAAAGAAACGTAAATGGTCGCGTTGATTACGTATGTAGTCCAATTTAAAATATCAACTAAAATGTATTTTTATTTTATTTTAAATATGAAACAGGACAACATTTAGTCAACAGTTAATCATATTTAATAAACAAAAACCATTTGTACGTCCTTTTTTATTCAAATTATAATATTTAAATCGGAATATTTTTTATCTTGCTCGCCATTAATATTGGCCAGCCGTTTTGCTAAGCAAACGGACTAAGAGTATTTAGTTTTACTCAGTTTTACTTTATCCGAATGCTAATCCGAACACTTTGTATGCTATGTCAGTTTGGTCAGTTGAACAGTAGCTAATTACTTGGTAACAATTAAGGATTCCTAAAATGGATTTATGATTGTGGCACTTTTATAAAATCGTTATTAAAAAAGAATACAAAATCTTACTCGATATCCTTGTGGATCGCACAGGAGATGAATTGTCTGTTCTTAAACACTGAGGTGTACAGGAAAGGTCCGTGGCAACTGTGTCTCTTGGGGTCTATTTTACAAGCGGAGATCACACCGATGACTCGCTCTTTTCCTTGATATTTCACAATTAATGGACCACCGTGATCGTTCTAAACCCAACAAAGTGAAAATATGCACATTATTGGTGTTGACATTTGCATATGTTTATTATGTAGGTAGGTGATCTAAGATTACAGTAAACACCGCACTTGCTATTTGGATTGTCACTCTAATATCATTAAAATGTAATAATCTAGTCTGATTACAATAGATTGGTTGACATGAATGTGCTAAACGAATTGACAGTCAGATGGTAAGTGGCTGTAACACATGCTACCTACTTCAAACAAAGACTACAGGAGAGTTGCCACCTTTGAGGACTGAAAATGAATGTCTCAAAGCCTATACCTATATACTATACCTGCAGTCTTACCCTTCAGACCGGAACACAGTAGTGGTACTTGGCCAAATAGGTCATGAAGCAAAGTGGTAGGTATCCAGGTGAACTTCTAGATTAAAAAATAGCATTACTAACAATTTGTTTTCTCCATCATTATCATTGCAGCCCTTTACAAGTCCACTGTGTAGATATCCCTCAAGGAATGTCACAAAACAAGGTCCTGGGTCACCTGCTCCGTCGACTTCCCGAGTTTAATCTAATAACAATATCTTCGAGCACTTACGCGTGATTGAGTTTTGGCTTAATGATCGCGTTACCTTCTTACCATACAAAATAAAAACATGTGTGCAGTTTTCAAGAAGTGAAACCTATCGAAAACTATACTTGGAGAGAATGAAACGAATGCAAAGGTACCAAGTTTAAAAATTACATTTTATTTTATATATATTATATTACATATTAAACAAACTCCAAGTTTTCAATTTTAAAAAAGACGTAAGTGCCATATTATAAGAAGATAATTAGGAAATACTTGATTCTATCTCATTCTCTCGCAGACTAAATTTTATAGATGCATATGTTTGTCCCTTTTTACTGTCGCTTTTTCTTTTCTTCTAGTTCACAACGATTCTAAAGATTTCACTTCAAAAATTATGCGCTTTTTTACCAATTTATTAGTCTTTATTACAGTTGGTATAAGGATCTTTTTAGCTTTTACCTCACAAAATCCGCCGTAAGATCTTCTTGCTGTATAATCGTCAGGGTCCCGTATATGCCTACCCAAGTCCACACTAAACGTCTCCGAATTCTGTTCATCGAGCTTATCTAAATGACGCCTATTTTCTTCCATGTCCGTGCAATTCGCGTATTTTTTCTGCAAATTTGATGACAGAAATTTTTGTAAAATTGATAAACTTACTGTTTGGAATGTTAAACGGTTTTCAACACACTTTAAAAGTGAAGAAAATTATGGAGTACCGTTAAAGATTTGATGATAAAATTGATTTTTGAAACATTACTTTCACAAAAGGATTTTCCCCTGTGTCCTGGAGCTTACAACCCACCTTGTGATAAGGGGCCACTCAAGTCTATGGGTATCGGCAACCAGCTTCCAAAAAGAAACTATAGATGCGTTGTTACCTATGAGGACTAAGATATTGGCTCCCTATACCCCTCATTTTGGAGTCAGCAATAGGTAAAAAGATGCAGCTAGGCAGATAAGGAGTTTTATTACCGAGTAAGTAAATTTAACAAGGACAAACATCCATATCTGGAACAATTTTTTAATAGGATAGGGTAACAAACGAGCACACATTCCACCTGATGGTAATTGGTTGCTGTGGCCCATAGATATGTAGCGGCGCTGTCGTCGCGCCGCAAGCGAAACACACCGAAGCCTAAATCACGCTATCAACATTCCGAATCATAAACAGTATATATGAACATCTCCGAACTAACACACGGAGTGTCAACCGCTGCCCGGGTAGAACACCTTGCCCGGCGGGAGATCTCCCCCTTTTCCTTCTACGGCCACAGATATCTACATCCATCCTTAATTACGAATCAAAATGCAGAAAGAAGGAAACGTAAAAATATAAAAAGAGTTCGTTTCTCTACACTCACCATACGAAACACAGCAGTGGAAAGTTGCTATTTTACGCTGGTATTCTGTGAAAGTGTGGTCCTTTCCCGGTCGAGCCGACCCATTCGCGCTACAACTATACCACTAATATAGCTGCAGCATGGCTCTACCACGTATAAAGATGCTTAGCCACTGCGATATCGAGCTGCTACAAAATATTTTTTATTTTAGCCATCCTGCTTACCTCTTTTAGGGTCTATTAATGAGGTGTTATTTAGATTTAAAATAAACATCAGAAAGCATTTATTTTATCAATTATTCGATTTCTAAAAAAGAAGCTCTAAAATTTTTTGTATAAAATATAGCCTAAATCACTTCTGGTATTACTTACTCTGTATCCGTTCATGTTTCATTATTTTAATGAAAGTTTTCATTACAAGCTGTGTAGCCGAATTACGAAGATTAGCCCAGACAGAGAGACAGACAAAACTTTGTTGATGATTAGAAAAAAATTTTGAAAATATTTTTTTAAATTTAAATGGCGTGCAAATAGCTTCAGCTCAATAAAATACAGTTATTTAGATAACACAGATAGAGATTTATTTTATTTATATGTATATTGCAATACCTTTTGTCGTCAAAGTATTAGTTGAGATTCGCAAAAAAAAAATATAAATAAAAAATACGGCTATTTTGACGGATTTTGATGCGGTTTGCAGCAATCGACGAGTTTTCGAGTTTAAGAGATTTTGGAATTGATCGCTACATCTATTTAAAAATGATTTCAAAAAACATTTTGTTGAAAATTTTTTTTGAGATTTCTCAAAATCTACTGGTCCGAATCGGTTCAAAATCTTGAAGCCCTTTTGAACGCTGCCGAGTTCGTTCAAATCGGTTACGAAAACCTCAAAAAGATCTGAGGATAACTTGTTTTTGAAAACTGGGGTGAAACCAAATATCTTCCCGATTTTTCGAAAAATTTTAATTTTCTAAAAATCGAAAGTCGAAAAGTTTAAAATTGGAACTGACAAAATTAGTAATCGAATGAAAAGTTTTTTATTCATAATTTGTCTTAACATTTTTACTAACACCAAAAAAACATCGTTAAATCTATATGGTTCCTTTAATGTTACTCACATCACAAATCTCACTCAGGCGTTTCATGACGTCCTTGGTGCAGATCATGTATTGCGTGATGATGCTCCTGAACTTCTGCGCCCATTTCTTTGCGCACTGTTCGTTATCCATGACGCACACTTTGGCCTCTTGCAGGAACTTGGCGTTCTGGGGCACATGCCCTTCTTGTCGACGATACACGCCCTGTGTTATGAAATAATTACAATGCAATTTTTTATAACTCAAACTGCAGAACCCGATATCCGTTGGAGTGTAGTGACACGGTAATATTATCTATACAGTATTGTAACTCGGCCGTATCTTTCAAATAAATGCCTACAGCCGTGCGGCACGTAAACATGTGATAGGGTTACCTGCCTCCAGCATTTTTACATTTGCCTACTTTGTGTTTACATTTAGTTTTATGATTGTAAATATACTTATTATATAAACAAATAAAATAGGTACTTTGTGAATTGAATAGGAAGTGTTCAATAAAAATGTGTGTCGTTTTTTGATTGGTAGATTTAATTAAAAAACCATGTTTATGTTTGAATAACAAATCGGTTAAATAAATTTGTGACCGAAAAATATTTGCACCTCGGCTGAGACTTACGAAATGCTTTATTATTAGATTTTTAAATATAAAAAATCAGCTTTCTAATATAAACCTAAAAATAATATAAATTAAAAATTGTTTTGGGAAACATGGACAACGTGGTGAAAAAGAATATCTTTTAATAGGTTATAGATACCTGCAGCTACTTTACAATTTATATGTTTGTTTTTAAATGAAGTTCAGATTTATTATTTCTTTATTTCTATTCTATTATTTATTTCCTCCATTTTTTATATATTTCACAAAATCATGACTGCGGCACAGTCTCGACTGCATGCCGAGCCCATGCCGAGATCGAGGCGCGTAGGCATAGTTCTCGTTTCATCCGTTTGTATGAAGTTGGAATACTGTATAGATAATATTACCGTGGTAGTGATTCCTCACTAGATGAATTCAAACTGTGAATACATGTGAGAGGTTGTGAAAGGTCATTTACTACCAGGTGGACTGCAGATTCATTTGTATCTTTCAGTTGTTCTATTAAAAGAAATCTATTATGAGAAGTCTATGTACAGTAGAAGACTGGTGACAGGAGTAGCTAATGATGATCAAGGCAAAAAAAATTGTTTCATTTACGTTATGTATGTCGCTATGCTTTCAGATGAATCCACTATAATTTTGATGCGGAAAGGTAAGACTTTGCCGTGTAGTGGCGGTTAAGAATATCCACTACCCCATATCTTCCCGTGGGTGTCGTAAAAGGCGACAGAGGGAAACAGGCAGGAGATGGGCAGCAGCATCTTCCTGATAACAGCAACTGTACAACAAAAAAAAACTGCGGTTGCCAACCCGCTCGCCAAGCGTGGCAACTATGGCAATATACCCCCCCATGAACAATTACACAAATAGACGGCCCCCAGTCCCCGGCGGCCCCGCTATTCCTGGCTACGGTGGCGACCATGGTAACGGCGGGGCAGGGGGTGCTAAGAATCTCCGGTGGAGGTTCGGTTGCCACCTACAACGACTCGACCTGGCAACATTTAACGCACGCACACTGAGGACTGACGAGAAGATCCTGGAGCTGGAAGAAGAGATAGACAAGTTGCGCTGGAGTATTATAGGATTATCCGAGGTCCGAAGAGAGGGGGAGGACACGGTGATTCTCGAATCCGGCAACTTGTTCTATCACCGGGAGGGCGACCATTTGTCCCAAGGAGGTGTCGGATTTATCGTCCACAAGTCTCTCGTCAACAACGTTGTAAAGTTTGGGAGTGTGTCGACGAGGGTCGCGTACCTGATACTCAGAATCACCAAACGGTATTCGCTGAAGATCATACAGGTTTACGCACCAACCTCGGCACATTCCGTAAGGAGGTGGAGGAAATGTATGAGGATATTTCCAAAGCCATGCATTCCTCCAAAACCCACTACACGGTGTTGATGGGAGACTTCAACGCAAAACTAGGCACAAGAGAAAACGGTGAGCTGAAGTTAGGGAAATTTGGAGTAGGGCAACAGAACCGAAGGGGCCAGCACCTGGCCGACTTTATGGAGAAAGAGGGACTCTTTATGATGAACTCTTTCTTCCAGAAGCGGCCCCACAGGAAGTGGACCTGGTCGAGCCCCGACGGTTCGACAAAAAATGAGATTGACTTCATTATGACGACCAGACGCCAACTGTTTAGTGATGTCTCAGTGATCGCAAGGGTGAAAACTGGCAGCGATCACCGAATGGTTAGAGGCACACTGAACCTAAACGTTAAGTTGGAGAGGTCTCGTCTAATGAAGTCAACGCTCCGTCCCCCTCGTGCTCTAATCCAAAATCCCGAAAACTTTCAGCTCGAGTTACACAACCACTTTCAGTGCCTACAAGATTGCAATGCAGTGGACGATATGAATGACAAGCTCGTGGAAACTGTCCATGCGGTCGGAGCTAAGTTCTGCAAGACCCGCCGCAGAAGAACACAAAAACTCTCCGATCACACTCTTAATCTCATGGCTGTTAGACGGGAGATGAGGCTGCAATCGTCAACAGATTTGACAGCATATAGGCAACTGAACAGACAGATCTCCAAATACATGCGGCGAGACTTACGCAACTTTAATACTGCTCGTATTAAAGAAGCGATCGAGCGGAACCAGGGCTCCAAAGTCTTTGCCAGAGATCTGTCTGCCCGTAAGAGCCAACTGTCAAGGCTGAAGACTGAGTGTGGCAGCATCGTTTCCGGGACACCTGAGATTTGGAGTGAGATTGAGAGGTTCTATGGGCAGCTGTACACATCATCGTTGGAGCCACACGCAAGTGTGAATAACGATCCAAGAGCAAGTCTTATCCGACACTATTCCGATGATCCCGGACGTCAGTCTAAGCGAGATTAGAATGGCTCTCCAGCACCTTAAAAACGGCAGGGCCCCAGGCGAGGATGGAATTACAGCGGAGCTTCTGAAAGCGGGTGGAACACCGGTACTTGAAGTCCTTCAGAAGCTCTTCAATTCCGTCCTCCATGGTGGCACTACTCCAGAGGCGTGGAGCAGAAGTGCGGTGGTCTTGTTCTTTAAGAAAGGCGACAACGCTCTCTTGAAGAACTACAGACCGATTTCCCTTCTGAGCCGCGTCTACGTGCTGTTTTCGAGAGTCATTACGAATCGTCTCGCACGCAGACTCGACGACTTCCAGCCTCCCGAACAAGCCGGTTTCCGAAAAGGCTTCAGTACCATAGACCACAAACATACCCTGCGGCAGATTGTACAGAAGACTGAAGAGTACAATTTGCCACTTTGCCTGGCGTATGTGGACTATGAGAAAGCCTTTGATTCCGTCGAAATTTGGGCGGTGCTGCAGTCCCTTCAGCGGTGCCAAGTTGACTGTCGGTATATCGAAGTGCTGAAGTGTTTGTACAGTAGGGCTACGATGGCTATCCGAGTACAGAACCAGAGCTCGAAACCTATCCAACTGCAGAGAGGTGTAAGACAGGGTGACGTTATATCCCCGAAACTCTTCACCGCTGCTTTGGAAGACGTTTTCAAGCTACTGGACTGGAAAGGATACGGTATTAACATCAATGGCGAGTACATCACTCACCTTCGATTTGCCGACGATATAGTCCTTATGGCAGAATCGCTGGAGGACTTAAGCACTATGCTCAATGACCTCAATAGTGCCTCCCAACGGATAGGTCTTAAGATGAACATGGACAAAACAAAGATCATGTTTAATGTCCATGTCACACCTATGCCGGTAGTTGTTGGGAGCACTATGCTCGAAGTTGTTGACGAGTACGTTTACCTGGGACAAATAGTCCGACTAGGTAAGTCCAACTTCGACCGAGAGGTCAATCGACGGATTCAACTCGGCTGGGCAGCGTTTGGGAAATTACGACACATCTTCTCGTCAGGTACACCTCAATCGCTGAAAACTAAAGTGTACAACCAGTGCGTGTTGCCAGTGATGACTTACGGATCAGAGACGTGGTCCTTCACTGCTGGCCGTATGAGGACGCTCAAGGTCGCTCAGCGAGCTATGGAGAGGGCTGTGCTCGGAGTTTCTCTGCGTGATAGACTCAGAAATGAGGATATCCGCAGTAAAACCAGAGTGACCGACATAGCCCAACGGATTAGTAAGCTGAAGTGGCAATGGGCCGGCCATATAGCTCGAAGAACCGATAACCGATGGGGAAGAAAGGTTCTCGAGTGGCAGCCTCGTACCGGTAGGCGTAGTGTAGGGCGACCCCCCACTAGATGGAGTGACGACCTGGTAAGATATGCAGGAAGTCGATGGATGCAGGTGGCTCAGGACCGTGCTTTGTGGCATTACTTGGGGGAGTTCAGCAGTGGACTTGTGAAGGGCTGTGATGATGATGATGATGATGAACATTCGGAAGTGAATGGAAGAAAAAATTTATAAGTATACTATATACTATGTTGAGTGCTACGTTGGTATAGTGGTTGTAGTAGGGCGACTGCTGATCATAAGGTCGTGGGTTCGAATCCCGTGTAATGCCAAAAAATATCAGTTATTGAGTTTTTTCATTAAGAAAGTCTCCGTAGCTGCCCGGATTCAGGAAGTTGGTGGTGTCTCACTCTCGTGCCTCGGAAAGCACGTAAAGCCGGTCCTGCGCCTGTTCTCTCTCCGGTTGTGTTGGTTTACCGTTCCATCGGACTATGAGAGTGAGGGAATAGAGAGTGCTTGCGCATACGCTTGGGCACTATAATCCTGTCCTGCGGCGATGGCTAGTCTCCGTTGAGGCAGGCCGCCGTGACCGAAATTCGGTCTGGAGGACATTATTATTATTATATGTATATACAACCCCACTGCCTCAAAAGGGAAAAGGGAGTATAATTTGTATTTAAGTTTATTCAAGTATATATTTACTTACTAAGTGGCACGATATATATATATACGTTTTTTATCTGTACAAATTTAAAAAAAGGTATACATTTTGAGGAATTGGTCGAATGGTTGTGACGATGCTTTTACAAAACAAAGACCGCATTATGTTTCTTTATCGAGGATTAGTAATCTCTACTTATAAAATGTATTTACGAAATTATAAGTTAAGTTAAGCAAATTACAACTTACTTCTCTAAAGTTATTGACGCTTCCCCAGCCCGCAATGTAGCCCTTCGTCCCGGCCTTTTCCAGATCCCTGCTTACGTTGTTGTAACCAAGTGAATTCGTAGCAAACTCACAACCCTTCTCCTTGACACCTAGCTTGAAAGGTTTTTTGACTTTCACAATGGCAATGTCGTTAGAGGACCATTTGATGCTGTCTTGGAAATCAAATTTATAGTCTAAAAGGAAAAAAATAAGAAGTATAATATAGTCAAGAAGGCCCGACAAAATATTCAAATAAACTACTTATTTAAAACCCTTTAGTTTTAAAATTACACCCAATAGTTTATATACATTTGCCCCGGTAAAATGATCTAAGCACTATCTGTCAGTACGCGAGCAAGCCAGGTTCGATCCCCGTCGTTAGCGATGAAATTGTCAATTGCAATTATTTTAAGTGCTGATTTACTAAGTGTGTCGATAAAGGAAAACATCGTGAGGAAACCTGCGTGTCTGAAAATAAAACAAAAAAAAATATTTTTGAAGACATGTGAACTCTAATGGAAATGCAGCAGACAAGTTTCCAATACTAACGTTTTTGTATCGTCATGACAAAAATGTTATGAAAATATGAACCTTGGATGACATAAATGGAACTATGTTTCGTCATACAAAAAGGCCTCGTTTCTTTGCCTGTGCGGATACTTGTGACACTACATATACAAAGACACTAAGTCTTCGCCATCGTCATCATGTTAAAATTAATTGTTGCTTTTCAGATCAGCGATGAAAACATAATTATCATGATAATCATTGTGGCCGTGGAAGGAAAAGGGGAGATCTCCCGCCGGGCAAGGTGTTCTGCCCGGGGAGCGGCCAACACTCCGTGTGACAGTTCGGAGATGTTCTATATATAATGTTTATGATTCGAAATATTGATAGCGTGATTTAGGCTTCGGTGTGTTTCGCTTGCGGTGCAACGACAGCGCCGCCACAATCATCATAAACTTACCTACTATTTACCTCCCTTATTTTATAAAAACGTCATTATATCTCGTTTATACAAATTTATTAGGACTGTTTTATTTATTATTTATTTATTTATTTATTCTTTTTTTGTACACCACAATACAGAAACATCAATATAGTTAAAACTAATTAAAGTATGTACAATAGGCGGTCTTATCACTGAAAGTGATTTCTTCCACACAACCTTTGCGTAGAGGAATGATGCAAACAAAAGTTACAAATAGAGGGGGGGCATACATAATAATAAAAAAAAAATACAATAATACATACAAATAAAAGTAAGTGAAAGTTATATATAAAATATCATATAATAGATTAAATGAAAAGAGTAAGAGAAAGGTAAAGTAATTTATCTAATAGCGTTCTAAATAATACGATTTAACAAGAATTTTGAAAGAGTGAAGAGATTTAGCACGACGAATATGGAGAGGTAAGGAGTTCCACAATCGCACAGCGGTTACGGTGAAGGATTTCTTGAAAAAGGAAGAAGAGTGCAACGGTGTAGAGAGAGAAAGATTGATGGAGGATCGAAGGAACCGATTATGGGTAAGAGAAAGATACTGGAAACGGTTTTTTAAATAAAGAGGAGTAGAAGGGTTAAACAACACACTTTACAACGCGGAGAGAATGTGAGTATTCCTGCGAAGGCGGATCGGGAGCCATTTGAGCTGTTTGCGAAATTCGGAAATATGATCATATTTGCGAAGCCCAAATATAAATCTAATGCATACATTTTGAATGCGCTCAAGCTTATTAAGCTGCTCCTCGGTAATGTCAAGATAGCAAATATCAGCATAGTCAAGGATAGGCAGAAGAAGAGACTGGGCGAGCGTAACTTTAGTTGCTTTAGTAGATTTTGTTGTGTTAACGTAAAATAAACTTTAATTTCTCGACATTTCTTCAGTGCAGTGTGTGTCCCTCCATTACTATGGGTGTTATTAAGCATTTGGTACGCTGGGAATAAGAATATATAAATAAGTTAAAGTTACATTGAATAATGATACTTACTCTTAGGAACACACTTCCAAACAACTTTACGCCGGTGGTTACAGACGCAATCGTCGCTTTTGTAATCGAAACTGTCAACGAATTTCGTGGTACCGGATACTATATAGAAATGATCAGCGTCCTCAACACACGCGGCGGAAGTTAGCACATAGTATGGGGAGAGGATAACGCCACCACACAACCAGCCCCGGTACTTGTGTGCTTTCGCTGATTCCTTGGTCAGTTGGAGATATACCTGTTAACATCCATAAATTATGAATCACACCTCTTACATCTTCTCATGAAGTTTACAATCAGTCATCTACTAGACATGATCTTAGCTACCACCACAAGCCAGTTCAAAAGTGCCATCCAGTCACCCGAATCCATCGCTAATCTGTCACCATTTATCACGAAGTTAAAAAAAATAACATGGTAACATAAACGAGGTTTTGGACACTTTTGTGATTTTTATACTCCTGTTTGATGGCAAATTTTTGGTCAATGTATGTATTATAATCTAATTACGACGTATTATAGTCTAACGATGAGAACGGAGTGACGACTGCCTGATCGCAACTTAGCTACTTCTACTTTTTTTTTTTTGCATGGGGAAATGCCTACGCATACCCGCCTCGCGGGGGGCAAGGACGGGTTATGTCGGACTCGCACCGACTAAAACCCCATGGTGTTCCACCTTTGTCGCATATTGGCAGGGCTACGGGAACGCTTTCGCACACATCCGCGGCCCTACTAGCGCCTGCCGCCCCATGGCAGCACCTCCTCGGGAGAGGAAAATTCCTCCCCATTCTCCTTCCCAGGTAAGGCGCACCAGAACACATTGCGCGCCTTCCTCCACGGCCTCTAACTACGTCTGTGCAACAGACGCCCCCGCGTCCGATGCACAAAGGCCATGGGGCCAGGAAAAACGAGCACTTAGAAGTACTAGCCTTCCCGACCCCAGCGGCGGATCTGGTCTATGGCTCCGCCGCCAACCAAGATTCGGCTGCGGAGGGTAGGGAGAGCGGCGCCTCGCAATACCAACAATCCTCTCCCCCCGCAGCCCCACCACCACCGCATCAACGGTGCGGCCCCGTTTGAGTCGCGAAGGATAGGGCGAGTGGCGCATCGCCATACCAACACTCCTCTTCCTCCGCGACTCCACCTCGGCTGCAGCGGTAGAGGGTGCGCGAGTCCCCACTCGCTGCAGTCCACCAGCACACATCCAAAGTGGGCTCCCCCAAGCCCACTCGGAGCGGCCACCTCAGGCCGGCCCTTCACCTCGGGCCAGCCACGTGGGTTCCTCTTTGTTCACCGTGGGAGACCAAGCCACGGCTACTAAGCCCCCCGCCACGACAAGGCGGGAACCCGTTCGGGGGGAGCTACTTCTACTTGGGTTTTAATTCCAGCGGAACCAATATTCGTGCAACCAACCCGGGTTCGAACCCTGCCGGCACCAATGAAATTGTTAATTGCAATTTTAAGTGCTGATTTACCACGTGCTCGGCGGTGAAGGAAAACATCATGAGGAAACCTGCATGTCTGAGGAATAAGAAAAAAAAATATTTCGAAGACATGTGAAGTTCGCCAACACGCATTGGGGCAGCGCGGCGGACACTTCCTTGCCCTAAAACCCCCTCAGAAATGAGGGGAGGCCTGTGCCCAGCAGTGGGACGTATATAGGCTGTAACTTTACTTTACTTTACTTTACAATATTCGTGCAAAACTATAGATAAGTACTCGTAGTCTGACTTTTTTATTTGGATGGGTTTGTTCCAATTTCTCTAACGAGGTCGACTAGGTGAATGCTAACTTGAAATATCCAGCGGAGTTAACAGTTTTTGGTTGTGAAACTAAATTATCAAACAAAAATTATCTAATTATAAAAAACACGCAATCGGCTTGGAAGTACTTTCAGATAATTTAAAAGTTTCTCATGGAACTGTTCTGGATGTCACCGTTGTAGGCAAGAAGGTTGGTTCTTTTCTTGCCCAAAATCTAAGTATATCCTCCGCGAGGAAATAAAGCCAATGTTCTTGGCACTATTGGTGCAAGAGAAATTCCTATATACGTGCACCCACTGTATCAAAAATACGAAAGTATCTTTTATAGATATAGAAATATCGGCGCACACACAATTTCGATACGGCTGAGATGGGCCTTAGACCATTCTCAAGCCAGGACATTTACATAATATGTAAAATATATATTTACGTACAAATTGAAATGCAGTGGATGCACGGGCGAACAAGAATTCCCCCTATATCAACCGATAAGTGAAGTCTGGTGGTGCATGGATCGTGCCCCGTTAATTTAAGTAATGTAAATATATTATTGTAAACATTTTGTATGTTACGATATAACGTAAATAAATTCTGTTGTTAGATATTTATAATAAAAATATCTAAAAAAAAACCTACCATATATGGTCTCTTCCCAGCATCTACTCTTTTGCTGTACAAAATCCTACGAGTGTCAACCTCGGTCCTATTTTCATACTCCCATCCCTCATCAGGCTCGTCGCTTATTTCATTTTGAGAGGTGTTGGTATTTTCGAGTTTACTGGCAACTTGCTGTTTTTCATCCTTTATGTCGTTTGAAGTTGTTGTCGTTGGAACCGAAAGGGTGACATCTGTTTTTTTGTGATGAATAAAATGCTTAGTTCGATGAATAGTTGCTTATATAAAAAAATACTTTTCTTTTCCTTTTTATTAGCTCGCAACAGTTCATTATTGGTCATGGGCTCCTCCATATTAAGGTGGATTTGTCATATCTGATAGGATCGCCGCGCTTAAAAGGCGAATTGGCGATCAGAGTACCATAAGCTTTATAAAGCGATAGAAGCTTAAATGTTATGGGTATATTCTGCAAACTTAGAAAGTCGTGGTTTCAAATCTGCGATTTGACTTCTGTTGTGAACCACTTACACAAGATTTTTAGTATTGGAATAGTTAATAGGAGTGTTAGTTTTGTTAAGTGTTTCTTTCTTTTATTCATGCAAATTTTAAATTATTAAAAAAAAACCTTCAAAGCTGTATCCTGTCACCCGCCTGCGTGTTTTACGCCTGACATAAGATGATTAGGTCACTATCTACTGGAAAATAGGAGTATCATTTTATTTACTCGCAGAACAGTGATACTAGTGATTAATATTTTCATGACGTTGAACCGAAAACAAGCTAGCAAATACATCTGATGTGCAGTGACTGCAACAGCCTAAGAATCGAAACAAGAAAGATTACTCGTATAGACGCGCGGTGACTATTCTGAGTTCAAGTAACCTCATAAGTATTTATTTTATAGTATTTTATTTATTTCATAGTTGATGCACCAGGTGTTAGTACATTATTTTCCTGGGAGTCCTCCTGGGTACTTTAGTCGCTCAACAATGAACCGCTTTACTCAGTTCCGTTTGTTAAGAGAGACTGTATAATTGCTGGTTGTAAGGCATTTTATCTAAGCCTGAGGAATCAGTGACTACACATTAATTGTAGTCTTTTTTGCTTGCAATTGGTTATGCATGGGTAGATGTAACCATTAGTTATATTTTATTTGTCATTTATAATATGATATTAATATGACAAAGCTGAAGCTATAATTATTTAAATTACATAAAGCTGTAATAAATATACGTTTCACATAATTAAAAAAAACTCTTACCTAATACCAATAAAGTAGAAACCAGAAACAAGCAAAAGTAAGTCATTTCTGAATAAAGCTCAACCATTAAAGAAGAAAGACGTTTGAAGTATTGAAATGAGATATTTTTTTAATAATTCAATTATTTGGTCAATTTACAGCGTTGGCATGCATCAGTGAATACAATTATTAGTTTCTTTGCATAATTATATTTGATTAAATTGAATTTATTGATTATTCTATGTATTGTTCAATTAATTTTGATTTAAATCAGGAATAGAACTACTTCTGTCTACTATCTTTATATTCTTACTGCCGTGTGGTAAAGATGTTTACGCTATATGGTCCCGGGTAGCGTTGCCAGGCGTCCGGATAGTCAGGCTTTTTGGTTGCGTGTCCGACCAAATTAGTGTGTGAGTAGTGTCCGGCTTTTGTTAGGCTTTTTAAATTTGACCATTTTTTTTTACATTTTTCATGTACTTTCATGTACATATTATTGCAATTATTGAAATTAATATTGTAATAAATATTGAATGATTAATAATAAAGAACACTGATTTATTCAATTGTTGTTTTTGGTAATTTATTATACCATTTTGAAATATTCTTTAAGTGTTTTGTTTTCTTCTATAAAGTCACATTATTACAAAAATACATAAATCATTTTACTGACAAAAATATTTAATTATTTATTATTGTATGGAACGACTCCCAACATGGCACAAAGCAAAGTGGTACTTGACATATCTTGCATTTGAAGTATGTTCTAACTTCTTTTTCTCTCGTACTGCTAAAACGGCATCTCCTAATGAGCCCTTTTTACCGTGATGCTGACCAGGGCTTGAGAGCCGAATTTCATCGGGTATTCCAAAGACACCACCCTTTTTTCTTTATAAAAATTGCCTGGCTTATGTTTTCTTTTTGAATATCTGAAAAGGTAAATTTTTCAATACCAATGTAAAATGTTGCAATGTGTATTGTTACGAGCTTAGGGTTCGTGACAATAAAAACTGCCGATTAAATTACCAAAATTGACTCTTTATTTCCCAAACACCAATTAAAACTTAAAACACACTAATAATTAATCGCACTGATAACTTTAGTTCACTTTATTTCGCTCCGAAGCCTCGCTTGTATCGCCAATTCAATACTGCCCCGATCGTGGCTGTCAACGGCTTTATATAGGGCTCTTCTACCGAAACATCCAGAATATTCCAGCAAATACGGGTCCCGACTGACTAAGTTCAGAAAGTTCGAGTGTGGACCCTCCTAGAAAACTTAATTCTTCTGTTCGATACTAGATGGCGCTGTTGGTGGAAAGTTCAAGATTGGCATTTTCTAGGAAGCCCTCCTCGATCTGTTCCCCGATACTAGATGGCGCTAGTGCCAGGTACCAGACATCAACCTAGCCGCGCAACAGTATTATGAAGTAAATTTAGACATTATTTCAGGTAGAAAATTTTTCATACCCATTTATTAGTGCTCTTGCCAGACGTAGTCGAAAATAACTATGGATGTTGTCTCTCTGTCTAGTATGCCAGTATAGAATGTATGCATTTATGATAGCACTTTCAAACATAAACCAAAATAGACGTAACCATGTTTTTCTCGATTTTCTTCCAATAGGATAGAAGCTGCGAATGTGATCAAATGGGAACGGCAGATTTAGTACCGCATATTTTTTTCGTTGTTTTGTTATAGAAATTGTACCACATATTAAGACAACTAAGCCATTAATTTTCATGTAAGTTTTATATTTTTAGAACTTGGGATCAATTGATAATATCAATAAAAAGATTTTAATAAATAAACTTAATATAAGCATAAACTAAACACAATTATGTTATTAGAAGTTGCCATATGTAATATAACAGAAATATCAAAATGGTAATTAATTATATAGAAATATAAATAAAAATATATATAATTAAACACATATTATTATTTCTAAGAAAGCATTAAATGTTGTATAAAATCATAATGTTTAACGATTTAATGATAGGAATGGTTTTAGTCATCAATTTTTTTATTCATATGGCAATTATTTATTGATATTTGAAAGGTAAAGAAAATCTGTCTTTCAATTCAGTTATTTGCTGTTGTTTTGGATTGTCGTTTGTAACCACATCTGAGCAATTTAGCGAAATAACTGGTCGTTTTTACGTTGAATTGAGCATCTGCTCGTAAACGTCGAACGTATGCGGACAATCTATACTAAGAATTATTCGATGCAGGATTTTGATTGAAGGGACAAATGAAGAAGAACAAAGAATGGCTAATACAGTTTCTACTTGGATCAACCCACGAGAGATATACATACTATAGCTATTATTAATTTTCTTTATTTAACTTAAACCAAGAAATAAAATAATATTAATAACTTCCCACTATTACTATACATGTTCGAATGCAAGCTTTTCTTTATTTATATTTTTTGTTTTAGCTTCGTTCTGAAGATGAAGCTTGTATGCCATGTTGGCTAAGAGCTAGAAGAACTAGGACTGCTCCACCAGTAGAACATATACAACCCCCTTCACCTGATGATGTGGATGGTGATCGTTCTCTTTTAACGCGTGCTGTATGTGGTCAAATTGTGTCCACGACAACTTCAGATGAACAGTGGAATCTGGACAACACTGCCCATTTGTTGGAGTACCAGCAGGTATATATGAGATACTATATTTATAATAACTAGCTTTAGTTATTTATTTATTGCATTTACATGTGGTTTTGTGTAATACATTACAGCACATGCACTCAGCAATGGTATAACAACATGAAATAAAGCTAGTTAGCTCTAATGTCTTAATTCTAATACTAATATTTATATATATTTTTTCTCTCTATTATATCTTTTATTGTATCTTTTCTTCTATCTCTGTTATATCTTTGGGTAATAAAATTATTATATAGTTTAACTGTCATGAAATATGGTCCAGAAAATACATAAAGTGGTTTTGGGCAATATTAATTTATTTCTCTTCCTAAGTTGTATATTATGTCCATTTATATTGTTATCACTAGCTTTTTGAAATATATCTACATATTTTCTTACTAATTTAGATGATTCTAACATGTATAAAGATGAAACTGTTAATAAACTTCTGTTGTATGAAATATGGTCTATAGCTTTCCCTAGAGTTAATGTTTACTAGAACTCTTATAAATTTTTTTGAGCGATAATATATATAAATAATTTTGGATGTCTGTGCAGTTTCCCCCCAAAGATATACGGTTAATGCTTGCCATGCAAAGGGCATTACTCTTAAATGTTGCTAAAGCTGAGACACTCATAAGGTGGGTTCTGCTAACAACAAACAGCCCTTTTCCTCTAAAACTTATTCACACAACATATATACGATATAGCTATTTGGCAAAGGTTTTCTGTAAGGTGAAGGCCAGGGTGCTGGAGAATGGTTCTTGGAACCAATTATTGTATCTCAAGAACCATTCTCCAGCTTGGGTTGCTCAAATTCAATCAGGAATCTAGCTGTGTCATACTCATTATCTTGTTTGTGTTTCTTTCATGCTTGAAAATGTTGGGCACAATTTATGTCTATCGAACTTAGTGTTTAATTTGTATTTCATCAATGCTATTTTTATATCTATGGCCATCTCATGAAATAAATTACTTAAAGATGTCATCCATGAATGAAGTTTGTGAAGTTTGCTGGGACAATGCTCGAGATTTGAGCTTACATGTACCAGAAGGACCACAAGAAAGACCCCAGCATAACATGTTGTCCAATAGACGAATTTCCACTTTTATGCAATATATACACTAAAGGTATCACGAGAGAATAGATGGTTTAAAACAAAAATAAACATGATTGGGCAGGACGCAATCAGAAGTTATTGCGGTAACTGCATTGTAGGTATAAGAATAGTGGGATGCTACTCACATGTTATTAGTATTATTTAGTACATACGCCATGCTCGCCTAGTTAGTCTAGTTTTATAAAGAATTCATTAATTAAAGTACAATAAAATAAATGAACTTAAAAAAACAAAATATTTTTTATTTACCTACACTCAAAACCCCATCGGAACGTCATCATTATCAATTTGTTGCAGTCCGCTGCTGAATATAGGTTTTAGTGTATCCTCATCTCAATCAACCTACTTAATGTTAGAACCACGCTGTAGCTATAATATAGTTGGAGCACGAATGAGTCTGCTTGAACGGGGAATAACCACGCTCTCACAGAATACCAGTGTAAAATAGCAGCTAAATACTGCTGTGTTTCATATGGTGAGTGTAGAGATCCGGAGACCCTGTTTAACTGGAAACGAGGCATTCGATCCTAGTCCTTAGAGGTGACAACACATCTGAATTTTGATTCTAAATCGACGATAAATGTAGATGTCTATGGGCCACAGCATCCACTAACCATCAGGTGGACTGTCTGTTCGATTTTCACCCTTACTCTATAAAAAAAATGGTTAGTAAAGCACTACAGAGTAGTGAAAAGCAATATAGAAAATTTACTTTATCACAAAAACAATGATTATTTATGTAACAATCTGCATAGGTACACTATATGTAACAATCTGCATAGGTACATTATATGTAACAATTTGCATAGGTACACTAGGAGAGGTTTTGGCTGTCGACGGATTGTCGCTCCTGTTTTGTTGCTTGAATAATGGTTTGAAGTAGATTTTGATTCGTAAAAGTGATGCCATTTTGTAAATTGTCTGCATGTGTGAACTATTAGAGAAAACGACGAATCAAGTGGTTTTATGTTGATATAATCTCCCAAAAACTGTGACGCAATAAGTGATGCATTAGCATATTGTGATGAAAAAATATATAAAAATGAAGATTATGAAAGAAATGATAGGCTCAGAAGGGCTAGAACCCAAAGCTGTAAAGCCATGATTAAAACTACTTTACGGATTTTTACTTTTTATTTACTTTTGTTTTTAATTCCCGACGTTTCGGGCGCTTTCCAGCACCCATGGTCACGGGGGACTGAGATGACTGACGTCCCGATGTCATTGTTAAACCCGGAGTACCTTCAGCTTTTTTAATTATTGTTTATGGTCCGATCTATGCAAAATGAACTGACTATGTCCTGAGGTCTTGCAGTGGTATGCTTGGGTTTAGTTTTAATTTTATTGATTATAGGATCCCAAGCAGGTGGCAGTACCTAGCCTCCTTCTCTATTGAAATTAGGATGTTTTTTAATTTCAATAGCCTCACGTATCATCCTTGGTAGGAATCGGTGTTCTTTTGCGAGGATTTGTGGTCTATCAAATCTGATGTAATGGTTGGGTCCGTCTAGGATATGATCACAAACTGCAGACTTCCCGGAATGTTGATGCTTCACATCAGCTATATGTTCTTTTACGCGGGTCCTAATTGATCTTTTTGTTTGTCCTATATAAGAGAGACCACATTCACAATCAAGCTTGTACACTCCTGCATCTTGTAGAGGAATATGACACTTGACGGATGGTAGGAACTGACTAATCTTCTTTGGCGGCTTGTAGAATGTTCTAAGAGAAGCTCGCTTCAAGATATAGCCAATCTTGTCTGTGACACCTCTGACATATGGTAGTACAGCAGGCACACGCTCGACTGTGGCCGGCTTCACTCGGTCACTGTGACGTAGGCGCGGGACCCGAAGCTTGTTGTCGTGCAGAACTTGCTTGACGTGCTGAAGCTCGGCGGCCAGGTGTTTGCTGTCACAGATCCCTCGTGCTCTCTGTAACAAAGATTTGCCCACGGTAGCTAACTGTGAAGGATGGTGGTGAGATTCACCGTTTAAATATCGGTTTGTATGGGTCCTTTTCCTATACACAGTGTGACCAATGGTGTTATTAGGATTTCGGATGACTAACACATCTAGGAAAGGTAAGGAATTATTTGCCTCTAACTCCATAGTAAATTGAATTTTAGAGTTTATGGAATTAAGATGTTCTAAAAATGCAGTTACTTTGTCTGATGGTAAAATTGTGAAAGTATCGTCTACGTACCGCTTGTAGATCCTTGGTGTAACAGGTGCAGTAAGGAGGGCTTTCTCCTCAAAGTCTTCCATGAATATATCGGCGACAATGGGAGATACAGGTGAGCCCATCGCAACACCATCTACTTGCTTGTAAAACTCTTCCTTCCACAATAGATAGCCAGATGTAAGGCAATGTCTTAGTAATACTGCATATTCTGCTGGCATGTTATTTTCCTCTAGTTTCCTAGTTGTAATTGAGATGCAGTCTTCAACAGGTAGGCATGTAAATAGAGACTGAACATCAAAACTGACCATGGTTTCATTGTCAGTAAGATGTAGGTCTTTTATCTCACTGACAAAATGGTATGAATCCTTAGTGTGTGCTCTTTTGTGTCCTCTGAGTGGTGATAATATTTTAGCTAAGTATTGAGCCAATCTGTAAGTTGGCGAATCAATCTGACTCACTATTGGACGTAATGGAGCATTCGGTTTGTGTATCTTTGGTAACCCATACAACTTCGGTGGTTTGGCACATGAAGGTATTATCGAATTAACGTCCAGATTAAATTTTTCGGAGTATTTCTTAATTAGATCGCTAGTTGTTTTAAGCATATTAGTAGTAGGGTCTGTTTTGATCTTTTGATAAGTAGTTTCATCCGACAAAAGTTAAATAAAAAAATGGAATACTAGTACATAAAATTATATATTAGTCTATGGTCTATGTAGATAATCTTAAAAATTAAAACTGGTTATAACTTTTATGTCCCAAGTTCTAAAAATCTAAGAATTTAAAAGGGGTTTGTCTATCCTACTAACTACCAATTAAAACCAAAATATCCCAAAACACGAAATTTTATAAGCGGTACGAAACTCCCATACAAGGCTGCCATTCCCCTTTATCAACTCCGCCCATATCTTGAGTATATGTATTATGTAGTTATAGAAGTAGGGCAGAACATGTCTTTCAGTTTGCCATTTTTTTGCCTTCTCTCGATGAAAGAAACTTCAGATTGATTTACTGGAGTTTGCAAAATATGGACATCTTTTGTATCTTGCCATTTTATACATCAAAATGGAGAGTTATAGTGAAAAGTAAACTCACCAGGAGCAAGCTTCATCAGTTCTTTTTTCTTCATTTTCATCTCTTCACTGTCCCCACGTTTTTTTGAAGTGAATTTTTCTAGCACTCCTTTTCTTGTCAATTGCACTGTGCCAACACTGTAAATGTTTCTTTCATGTAAAATCCCCATTAAAGAAATGCTAGTGAAGAAGTTATCAAACACAACTAATGAGCCAGCAGGTACATTTTTAGTTAGTTTCAAAAAAACTTTGTATCCCAGACCTTCTTCACTTGGAACCACTGACCTGTCCTTTCCTGTAAATAAATATCAAATAGAATATCACGAACTAATCAAAACAGTTTATTTTTGAACAAATCAGAACTATTTTTAGGCAGACATATTCTATTTACCTGTATCAAACTGATAAAGATATCCAGATTTTGAGTCACAATGACACCAAACTTACCCACATTTTATGGGTTTCAATGGCATGTATTGTTTTTTGCTATCTCTACCCTTGAATGAGAGTTTTCAGCACATTGTTGAAAGGTTCGGTTTAGAATGGATACAGCAGGTCTTATTTTTTCTAGTTTGTCATATTGTGGGTGAGTTTTTGGAAGCGCTTCGGATATATCACTGATATGAAAATTCTCTAAAATTTAATTAAAAAATTAAAACCAATACAATTCAAAGTCTGATAATGGATGCAATCCCATTAGTATAAATATCCCCAAAATAGCACTTATTTCTTCTTTAGTAGTGGTTGTCCAAAATTTTGATTGTTTATGTTGCACATATTTGTTGGTATTCATTACAAGTAATTCAAGCAATTCCTCTGGACAACTTGAAGAAACAATGAACAGGTGTGCACAGCCTGCTATTTGATCCAAAGCTGCATTTGGGGTCCTTTTCAAATGCATGTTCTGTAACATTAGACACATTTGTGGACCATTGATGCTGTTTCTTTTACAAAATACTGTAGAGATGTAACAGCTAGCTGTAATATTCTCGATCATTATCCATATTTTCAATAGGCATACACAGCTGATCTACTGGAGTTTCATAATTTGTATCTGATTGGTTCAACACTGTCACTGTTGGTTCTGGGGAAGGATCTACTGGAGATTCACTTGTGTCCGCTCAGTTCATAACAGTAACTGACATGGGTTCTTCCAGGGAATCATTGTTACTGGAGGATTCCAAGGATTCCAACAGCTCAGAATATGTCATACCTTGAATGCTATCTAATGCTGAATTCATATCTAGGGATAGATCAGTCCCATTAAACATATATAATTATCAGTTTCCTTCTCATCTTCCGAAGAGTCACACAATATATGTAACTCCTTCTATATATCCTCTTCAGAAATGCCTTTTCTTGACATTTTTACGCCTGGAAAAGTGACAAAAACATTTATTATGAATACCACTAACAATGATAGATGATCATGGCCGTATATCTCCCACATATTTCCAAGAGTCAAAGACATTATTCATTAAAATTTGTATGCTCTTATAGTCACATTTACAATTAATAATATATTTAAAAATACCACGACTCACCTGTTCTTATTTTATTTTATAAATAAACAAATTTTTACTGCACAGCACTGAAAAACTAACGACAAAGACCGTTATAGTACCTCTTAGTAGTTTGTGCCGTTATCACCGTTATGAGCGTAGACAGAGATGAGGTACCGAAAGATTATCAAAGTTATCAAGTGTGTTTGATTTTTTTTATTAAACTGGCTTTACGGCTCTGGGTTCTAGCCCTTCTGAGCCTATCATTTCTTTCTGAATTTTCATTTTTATATTCTTTTTCTTTACAATATGCTGTTGCGTCACATTGCGAAGTCCTCGGGAAATTTTGACGACAGCTTAACCCAGCGGAAAGATGATGACAACAGCCACTCAAGTTCATGAGGTGCCCAAGCGATCAAAATAACTTAAGGTTTATATCGACATGAAAGCACTTGTTTTGTCGTTTTCTCTAATAGTTCACACGAACGGAAACTTAATTCACAAAATCACATCATTTTTGCGAATCAAAATCCACTTAAAACCATTATTCAAGCGCCAAAACAGGAGCAAAAATCCGTCTACGGCCATAAGCATGGGGCATGGAGGTTAGAGAACAGGAGAACGATCGCCGTAGAAAATAGAGCCCCAGAAATATGGACACCATATGTGAGGCGCTGCGATCGCTAAGTTCGCTCAATAAAAGTCATTTTCAGTCTATTTTTCCGATCAGATGCTAAACCACTTGCACATCCACGCACAATAAAATATTTCTCTATTTTTTAATGTATCTTTTTGTCAAAAATTAAAAAAATACGGAACATGAAAATTTTCTCACCAATGCCGCGAAGAAAATTTGTACACGTAGACAGAGAAACCTATAGACAAATTGACGCCTTCTTTCGCATTCGCACACGAAAAAGATAGATTTATGCATATGTCTTGCATAGAAATGAGACAGAGTGGTGTGATTGTTTGTCCCTTTCTCCGTGCCGTTTATTTTTATTTAGCGAACTACACTTTGCTAAACAACTTTGACAGTTCGTAGCGATCTAAGGAGTTTACAAGTTGGTTTAAGTGAGAAAAAAGTGTTCTGTGAGCTTAAGATTGGTGAATCTTGTTCAGGTCAGTTCTTAGAACAAGTAAATTTTTTATCTAAATATGTTTAAAAGTCATAAAGATGATTGTATAACCTAAAACTACGTTATCGTCCTTTCTCACTCGAGGCCACGCTAATCATTAGTCTATAGGTTTCTCTGTCTACGTTTGTACATTATTCAACTAACTTCATCTACTTGTACTCATAAACAGCTAACTTCGCAGTCACTACTCACCGACGTCAGCGACGCTATAAATTCTGCAATTTTCAAGGACAGGCTGGCTATGCTTTAGTACGTAGTGATCGTTCTCCTGTTCTTTAACCTCCACTCCGGAACTCCGAATGTTCAGTGATTTAGCCGAATATTCGGTAAAACTGCCCTATATGCCGAATACCGAATATAAAACGAATATTCGGCGCATCTCTACTTTTTACTATTATTCAACTATGATATTAAAAATCTAAAATTCAAATTTTATTTCGCTTAGTGTTGGCAGTGGCAAGAAACGTTGAGAACAGTTTTACCGGTAACAATTATTTTTCATCTTAGTCGTTAGAGTTTTCGGTTGTGGACGTTGTTATTCAAGTTGTACTTTGATAAAAAATTATGGGCCTCAGCATCCACTTTACACAAGAACAGTTAGTGTGTTCTTAGCATTTCGCTTCGTAAACATCACACACACACACAAGACAGAATAGGGTTGAATAATACGAGTTCATTACTTTTAAGTATGGAATATTAAAATCCACGTTCTATTAACGCCCAATGGTCTTTATTAAAAACATTTTATAAAAATTATGATTTTGTTTTATTTGTCGTTGACAAGTTTGAATTATTATGCGATCTTAGTATAAAACCTCCGTCAGCGAATACTTTGTCGTTCGTGTTCTCTTCTTCCACTCTAAAGAAGATTTGAGGTAGCGTCGTGTTGGATTTTGCTTCTTCCAATTCATTTTTTGCTGGACTGAAATCAAAATTAATAATACATATCACATTACCACCAATTGTTTCACCATTATCATTGACCAATATTGCATATATTCCTTTCCAGGAATGCTTGGCAGTTAGCAACCAGCATTCATTGTATCTAAGAGAAAATAACAATTAAAATATAATAAAAACAACAGTAAAAATAGATCCCATAGCGGGGCCAAGGCCCCTTCTCCCTTTTAAGAGGGTTGTCTGGAGTGGTTTGTTTTATTTGGGCTCAATTATCTTCGAATGTATTTCACTAACTCAGACACGCACGTAGTATAATTAGGACTTTAAAATTTCAAATGTCAATATAATTACTGCTGGCTGGCAAACTTGGGATGATCGCGATTGAGTTGTACTACGTCTCCGAATTATAATATAACCTCGTGAAAATAGAAACTAATAAGAAAACAAAATATCTAGACCTGGACTACGAGATGACCGATATATATGGGTAGCATGATGACCGAAAATATACATATAGTATTTCTGCGAACGTGTTAGTCCTGATCAGCCTTTTGGGTAATTTGAGGTTACCAGGTCTCCGTGATGGACCGCTCCGGGCTCAAATCCAGAAGGCGGTGCTTTTTGAAGTGAAAACTTCTTTAGCGGCGTTGTACACTTTTTTGTAATGGGTAAAAAATGTTAAAATCGCGTCAGGACACGTGACCCTGATCGAAAATTCGTAAGACGGATGGAGAGAGAGAGAGACAGCCGGCGCGGCGTAGGAGAGGAAGTATCCCCCTCTCTTTCTTCTAGGGCGCGGCGAAAATGTATGCCGGCGCCTGCTGTTTCGTTTGGCGGCGCAGGGCGCTTGCGCGAATGTTCGTGTGTGATAATTAAAGCAATTCGTGCAAAATTATTCCCTAATCATTCCAAAATATCAAAAATGCACAAAGTTAATATTCAAGTTTTCACTTCTGCCGGCACTCTCGGAGTGCAACCGGTCGTTTTTTTTTTGTAACATTGGGTAACAAACGAGCACACAGACCACCTGATTGTAAGTGTATTCTGTGGCCCATAGACATCCACATTTATCTTCAGTTAAGAATCAAAATGCTAATATTGTTTACAATACTATGTAATAGGTGCGTTGCTAAATTATATAATCGTATATAATTTGGCAACGCACCTGCAATTCCCCTGGTGTTGCGGTTCTTCATGGGCGGCGGTAGTCACTTAACAGCAGGTGAACCGTATGCTTGTTTGCCCCTCTACTATACAAAAAATACGTAGTCACTCCTGAGGGCTAAGTTGGAATGCCTCGATCCCAGTAAAAAGGGTCTCCAGTACTCTACACTCGCTATACGAAATACAGCAGCATTACGCTGCTATTTTACGTTGATATTTTGTTAGAGTGTGGTCTTGCCTCAGTCGAGCTGACCCATTCGTGCTACAACTATAATATAGCTGCAGCGTGGCTATACTACGTAAACGTGCTCCTCGAAACTGTCCGCATCGCCCTCCGGCTTCTTCCCTTTTCTCCATAAACCTCGGCCGTTTGATCTCCCCTGTGGAAGGCTTCCATTTGTTTGGGTTTATATATTTATTTAATTAACTATATTTTTGTAATTGATTTAATTATATAAATTATTTTATGTATTTTTAGTGTGTGTGTTCATATTTTTAAGCAGACATTTATTAATCTTTAACAAACGGAACACATTATAAGTAATATTTGAATATCGGTAGAAGTGAAATAGTGATCCTGGTCAGCGTGTATCGTGGGAACCAGTAAGTGTGTGGCCACCGGTGTCCTTTTATTAGTTTGTGGTAGCCACTAAACAGAGAAAATTGTGCTATTAGATATTTTGATAACTATCTGTAAGAAATATATGTTTTACTATCTTCAAACTAACTTAGTGGTAGGACTACTAACTACTGTAGTGTACTGTAGTATGGTAGGACCTGTTTCTGCCTTCTTCTGGCAAATAGCAGTGCTTGCATTGATTCTTTTCGGTCTGAAGTGTAAAGATAACCAGTATGATCGCAAGCTGTAAGGCATTCCATTTTAGTTTTGAGGAAATGACAACATGGTGACAGTATAACAACGAATTTTTTTATAGATTGGGGTGACAAACGAGCACATAGTCCACCTGATGGTAACTGGTTGCTGTGGCACATAGCCATCTACATATATCCTCGATTACGAACCAAAATGCGGAGTGCGTTGTCACCCGTGAGGACTGAGATGGAATGCCTCGTTTCCAGTAAAAATGGTCTCCGGTTCTCTACACTCACCATACGAAACACAGCAGTATTACGCTGGTATTCTGTGAGAGCTGGTCCTTCCCCCGGTCGAGCCGACCTATTCGTGCTACAACTATACTACTAATATAACTGCAGCATGGCTCTACCACTTAATATACTAGCTAATATAGCCTTTTTATATGAAATCGGTCATTTGGTTGGTTGGTTGGTATTGATAGAAATTACCCATCAGGATGATTCTTCCAAGAAATAAATTTTTCTTCGTGTGTCTCTCCAGATCTAAATTGGCGTCGGCACTTCTCTCTGAAAACAAATTATAATACCTCTAGATATATTTAGCTAAAAGTCATTTTAGTTCAAGGGCTCACTAGTGAAAATGTGAATTGTAACTTTAAGCGCTTAGGGGTCATTTGCTAAATTAAACTTTTTTCGAGTATATGAGAAGTTCGACAGCAGGTACTGAAGCTGCGCGACGCGCTCAGAAGAGCAGAGAACTGCTTTTAACAGAAATGAGAACAGGAATGTGCTCAACAGTAGAACATTTAAAAGCCTGTTACTATATTTTTAATAAGTTTATATTAACTTATACTTATAATGATATTTCTAATCAATAGTGGTTACTTTTCACTATGGTTTAAGTAACACGGGAGATTTTAATTTATCTTTAGGTCAATCCAGCGGCCATGCATGGCCTATAACACGAGATGCTCATATTTAGCACTAGACTTCTACGGTGGATTGATGAAAAAGAAGAGTAAGAATGATATTTAATCGTTATCCACCCGAAAAACATTCCCAAGCACAAGTTAGATATATCAGTTAATCGACAGAGTCACTAATTCCTATGTGTAATATTCCTTTCCTTTATTTCTATGTATACGCTTTTACAATAAAGAATAAAGTCCCAGAAAATGTGCGTCTAATCTATCAAAAGGTTTAAAATTTTTATGAAGAAAAAATTGTTAGGAAGGGTTATTATACTAGAAAATAGTACATGATTGATAATAGCCGCTGAGAAACGCTACAATGCTGTTGCTAAATGATTTCATACTAATTGCATAAAATATTATAGTTATTATAAGTTATGCTTTTAAAATGGAATTGACTCGAGGAAATTCAAGAGCGATGATTTATTATGACTTTCGAAGTGGTTTAACACAAAAACAGTGTGTTGACCGGATGTTTTCTGCCTTTGGTAATGAAGCCCTATCCAAAACCACAATTTATCACTGGTTTGCTGAATTTCTACGTAGACGTGTCAAGCTCAGTGATGATCCCCGTCAAGGTCGTCCAAAAACTGCAGTCACCCAAGAAAACGTTGATGCTGTGCATAAGCTGATTGAGGAAGATCGACATGTGACATACCGCGAAATTCAGACAACTTTAGACATTGACATGAGTCAAATACAAATAATCTTTCATGAACAATTAGGTGTAAAAAAGTTGTTTTCCCGAAGGATACCGCATTCGCTCTGTGAAGAGCAAAAAGCGGCTCGCGTTACTTGGTGCGTCAGAACTCTCGAAAGATTCCACGCAGGATCCTCAAATGCTACATACAACATCGTATCAGGTGACGAATCCTGGATATATGCGTAAGAACCCGAAACAAAAAACCAGTCATGAGTTAGGGTGTTCGAAAATGAGTTAAAGCCAACAAAAATTGTTCGTTCACGGACTGTTGCAAAAAAAATGGTGGCCACGTTTGTCTCCAAAACCGGCCATGTTACGACTATTCCTCTTGAGGGACAAAGACCGCTTAATGCAGAATGGTATGCTAGCATTTGTTTGCCACAGGTCGTTTCTGAACTCCGTAAAGAGAACTACAACCGCCGCATCATCCTCCATCACGACAATGCGAGTTCTCACACCGCACACAGAACAAAAGAGTTTTTATAGCAAGAAAACATAGAATTATTAGACCATCCGCCGTAAAGCCCCGACCTAAGCCCTAATGATTTCTATACTTTTCCTAAAATAAAGAATAATGTTACGAGCTTGAGGTTCGTGACAATAAAAATTGCCGATAGAATTACCAAAATTAACGCTTTAATTCACTTTGCACTAAGTAAACTTAAAACACTAATAATTAATCACACTGATTCCCTTTATTCCGCTCCGAAGCTTCGCTTGTCTCGCCAAATTCAATACTTCCCCGATCGCACCTTGCAGCGCCTATAGATACATATTAGCACCGAAACATCCAGAACATGCAAGTAAATACGCGCAAGGCGTCGAAAGTTGGAGTGTTGGCTTCTAGAAGCTTAGTTCTTCGTTTCGACACTAGATGGCGCTGTCGGTTGAAAGATTAGTGATGTCATTTTCTGGAAAGTTCCCCCCCCGCTCTCGTCCCTGACACAACATGACCTCAACTTAGGCGCGCAACAATAAATTGCGTGGACAGAGATTTTCATCACCTGAAGAAGCTGTAGACGCCTACAAAATGGCCATTTTGAAGCCCCCTACTTCCGAATGGAGTGGTTGCTTCAATGATTGGTTCCATCGTATGGAAAAATGTGTCAAATTTCGCGGAGAATACTTCGAAAAGCAATAAATACATTTTTAAATAGTAATGTTGTGTCACTTCCTTGATTCCCGAAATTTTCAGTGCCGCCCTCGTAATGTGTCGAAATTAAAAGGTTCTTTATATTTATTATATTCTAATGGATTTACCGTATAATCCATATATTTCCGTAGCCACAGTATCCGTAGTATAAAGCAACTTCCCTTCGCTGGGCTAGGTATTTGACATTTGTACGACTCGATCTTCACCCGATATATTTTAATTTGGTTAAAACATAAAGTAATAATCAATTAAAAGGATAACTTACTCTACGTTTTTGTATATGGAGCAAGAAATGAACTGCCGGTTTTTGAAGATACTGGTATAAAGAAAGGGTCCATAACATTTGTTACTTCTCTCTTTGACAAGACAGGCTGAGATCACACCGATCACAATTGCGTTGGCTCCTGTTCCGTATACCATGGGACCGCCGTGATCATTCTGTATACAAATTACTAAGCGATTTTGTACGAGGTTCTTAAAAACTGTTTAAAATTGCAGTTGTTTTAAAGGACATATGAAACATATAAAGAAACTTAATAAACTACGTCTTAAAGTCGTAAGGTCTACCAGTTTGCATTATAGGTGGTAGAGCTACGCTGCAGCTATATTATGGTTGCAGCACGAATGAATGGGTCGGCTCCACCGGACTGGGACGACGCTCTCACAGAATACTAGCGTGAAATAGCAGCTTAATGCTGCTGTGTTTCGTACAGCGAGTATAGAGAAACGAATGCGCTTTTTACTGGAAACGAGGCATTACATCATGGTCCTCTGGTTGACAAGTGCCTGCATTTTGATTCTTTGACAAATGTATGGGCCATAGTATACACTTATCATCAGGTGGATTGTGTGCCGTTTGCCACCTTTATTCAATGAAAAAAACGAGTACGGAGCAGTGCCCGACAAGAATAGTATAGTTTTTTTCCCAAGCGTACCTACTCTAATCTATTTGTGTTCTTAGCATGCAAAACCTAAGGGACAGCTTGGTGACAAAACGTGGGATAATTCGATGGAATTTTTCTCAGGAAATTGACCGCCATTGGATTGCGTCATCGCCTTGTATAATATATCATATACTTATAGCATATAAAAATTAAAGCTCCGACCACGGAATGTGTCATTTTAACTTCATCTCCTATTTTCAGGGAGGCATATAAATTTGGGTGATAGTAGAACCCCGAAGTATTTATTTAAATAAGAATCTTGTATATTATATGCGAATTTTGTTTGAGTATACATATGGGTACTGTATATATATGTGTGTGTGTGTGTGTGTGTGTGTGTGTGTGTGTGTGTGTGTGTGTGTGTGTGTGTGTGTGGTGTGTGTGTGTGTGTGTGTGTGTGTGTGTGTGTATGTGTGCGAATATATGTGCATTCTGTTACATATATTTTGTTATACTCTTGTATATTTTATTTTTATTTAATCGCGTTTGCAGTACTAATAGATAAACAAGAGATTTTTAACTCGTAATAGATGCATATATTGTTTATTTTGGGTTTAACCGCCGCTACAGTGGTATCACGACATCACAGAATACCAGCGTGAAAAAGAAGTTACTTCTGCGTTTCCCCTGGTGAGTGCAGGTGCTCGGTGGCCCAATTTCCGATCCGACCGATCCTGCCGGTAGATCTGTTTATGACTTTGCCTTAGCATATTGTCTGACACAACTGGTTACTTAGCCTACGCGGATTCCAGATGTGGAAGATCATGTACCTTCCCTGTTGGACCTTTTGCTGCCCTCTCATCCGGACGGATATCAGGTCTCCGTCAATGCCGCTCTTGGCTCTTCAGACCATTGTGTGATCCGGAGTACCGTGCCACTCACGATTCCATCGCAGTTGCGTTCGCAGCTTGTCACCGAGCTTAGCGCCATAGATCGGCCGATTGGGATGCGATGCGGTGTTTTTTTGCATCCTACCCTTGGCACTTGGGTTTGCTTCTCTCCGGATGATCCCAACGTTCTTATTGATTCTGTCACTGATGTGGTACTTCAGGGAATGAAAATATTTATTCCATCCTGTGGTACCTATTGGAGGCAGAACTCGCAATGGTTTGGTCATTCCTGTAAAACTGCTGACTGAGTGCTACCGGGCCTGGGCTGACGCATCAACGTCTTGGGGTGCAAACACTAGCGCTCTTTAAAAGAAGTATAATTCCACCTCTAGGTCCTTCAAAAATGTCATTGCCTGGGCAAAGAGTAAGCATATCGGCAGAATCGGCGAGAAACTAGTTCGACTTCCTTCAAGAGCACGTGCATTCTGGTCTCTCGCCAAGAATGTCCAAGGAAACTTCAACTGTCAGCCATCTCTGCCATCTCTGCACTGGAAGGATGACTCACTAGAATCATGCCGGAAAGGAGAAAGCCCATCTGCTTGGCTCTCTCTTTGCGTCCAACTCGACTCTCGACGACGGGGGAAACACATTGCCGACCATCCCGGAGTGTTAATATTCCATGACGGATGTGCTGTTTATACAGCGCTTGGTGCGCTAAGCATTCCTCCCGCGGACGTCAACAAATCGAGTGGGACTGATGGAGTCCCACCTATTGCGCATAAGAAGTGTGCTCCAGAGTTGACAGCAGTATTAACGTGTCTTTTCTGGTACTCCTACACCCTACGCGTAGTCCCGAACTCATGGAAGACAGCTTTGGTGCACCCGATCTCTAAAAAAGAGCGACCGTTCAGATTTGTCTAACAACAGGCCTATCGCTATCACCTCCTTGTTCTCCAAAATAATGGAAAAAATTATTATCCGGCAGCTCATGAGGTACCTTGAGGATCACCAGCCGATTAGTGACCGCTAGTACGGTTTCCGTCGGGTTCGCTAAGCTAATGTTCTTCTGGGTTACCTGACTCATATATGGGCGGAGGCAGTAGAATCCAAGGGAGAGGCGATGGCCGTTAGTTTGGACATAGCAAAGGACTTCGATCAGGTTTGGCACAAAGCAAATCTTTCGAAGTTTCCTTCCTATGGGCTTCTCGAGAAATTGTTATGTTAGATCACCAGTTTTCTTACAGATCGGAGCATCAAGATCGTAATAAACGGTGCATGCTCCGTTACAATCCCAATAACGCTGGTGTTTCACAAGCATGCGTGCTATCATCAACGCTGTTTCTTCTGCATATCAATGATATGTTGCAAACCCGTAACATTTATTGCTATGGGGACTACAGCACTGGTGATGCTTTATACCAGCCATAGCAATATTTCTCGGGAAAACGTCGCCGAGTACCGGAACAAACTTGTGTCTGAAGTCGAAACTTTCTTGAACAAAGTAGCGGGCTGGGGCGACTAAATCTAGTTCAGTTCAATCCTCAAAAGGCACAAGTTTGCGCGCTTACCGCTAAAAGGAACCCCTTTGTCGTATCTCCTCAGTTTTTGAGCACTTCCCTTGTTGCTCAGCCAGTATCGGAATCCTAGGCGTCGACATATCGACTGACGTGCAGTTTCGTGGTCACTTGGAATAGAAGGTCAAATTCGCCTCTAAAAAGCTTGGCGTGCTCAGCAGGACGTGACAGTAGTTTATACCGGCACGTCACCTGCAACTTTACACGGCACCGGTTCGGCCTCACATGGAATACTGTTCCCATATCTGGGCTAGGGCTCCCTAGTGCCAGCTCCTTCAATTTGATCGCATCCAGCGCAGAGCGATTCGATTGTCGGCAATCGAGCTCTTTCCGATCGGATTGACTCACTGCAAAGGGATGTTGCATCTCATTGCGTATTATATTGGGGAGTGCTCTAAAGAATTGTTCGAACTAATTCCAGCCGCTCAATTTCACAATGGTACATCGCGACAAAACTCGCAATACTCGCGATTTAGAAGAAGTTTTCTTCCTCGCACAACTTCCTTGTAAAATCGACTACCACCACTACGACTTTGGGACTTTCACAAAAAGAGCTTACTCTTTTTTAAAAGGCCTGCAAAGCATCTGCAATTTCCCTGGTGTTGCAGTATTTCATGGGCAACGGTAGTTACTTACCATCAGGTGAGCCGCATGCTCCTTTGCCCTCTCCCCTTTGAAAAACTTTTATTCATAATGTTATTTATGTAATAAAATCAATCACATTTATTGTAATAAATATTTGCTCACTTTTATTTGTAATATAATTAATTAATAATAAATTGTTCTTCATTCTTCTTCTCATGCCATCTCCAATTTAACTCTTTTTACAACAGAAATAAAATATTTTAGTCAAAATAAAATCGCATTCCTAACAATTTTTTTATTCCCTATTTTTTATTTAAATAAAAAAAACAATGTTACGTAACTATTTGTTCGAAAAGCCCGCCCTTGTAACGCATCATAATGTTTTACAAGACACCCCCCTCCCCCAAATTTCGTTACGTGATACTTGAACGCCCCCTTAGGCACTAAGTGCGGCTATAAACGTTTCAGTGTATATGAAGTTAAATATATAAAAATATGTCTCCCTTATTAGGCAGTCTATGAGGGAGGTTAATGATAATGGTAACATAAAAGGAATCCTAACCTCACAAAATCCACCATTAGCTTGCTCTTTGCGTCGTGATGTTCCAATAGTTTCATTATGATATCCTGAATGCATCACAAGATTCGATGGGACTCTCTCAGACCTCGACACATGGACTTCTCTTCTCGTATCTTCTTCATCGTCTGAGTAATGTATATCTTGACATTCTACGTACTTATCCTTAAATAAAACATAATGTTAAATGTTAATGTTATTATTACAAAGAGGCTAACGGAATGAGAAGATTATACCGCGTTTCTCCAGTGGATTGTCCGACGTCACATCATTGCCATTTACTAGGGAACGATGCATTCCATCTTAGTCCTCAGATATCAACACATCTGCATTTCGATTCTTAATTGAGGATAGATATAGATGTCAATGGGCCACAGCATCCATTTATCATCAGGTGAACTGTGTACTCGTTTTTCACCCTTCTTCTATAAATAAAATGTTATATGAATGTTGTGAAGTTTGTGATTGTCCTTGTTTGTCTTTTGTATAGAGTTCTAAATTCAGATGTAGAGACGTTATATTATAGCGGGTAAGTAATGAGTGAATTCACATTTGTAGAGCAGTAAAGGTAGGTGGAGAGCAAGCAATTATTCAAGCAAAACGAAAAAAAAATAAGAAAGTATATAAATAATTCGTAGTAGTATTTTTTAAGTCTAGAAACGTAAATTATGTTATATCGTTGGATAGAATATACTTTCATGAGCATAAAAAAGTAAAAAGGTTTTATTCATAAACACGGTCTAACAAGTACATATACAATGGTATTGAACGCGAAATGTGCCCGTATCAGAAATAAGAATCGCTTATACTAAAATTAACGTTAAGGACGCGTTTACAAAATGGATAGGTATAGAATCGCACTACTACATTGACAAAAGTCACACACACACTAGTGTACGCACGGTTGGCTGTGGGAATCGTAGTCAAATGAAATTATTTTGATAATTTGAAAGATTGAATTTGTTTTTCATTTCTTATACCTACCTCAGAAATATACTTCGATACGAAATATGAATACCTGCTCCAAAGACTGCTTGGCACTGGAAGCCCTCTACTGGTAGTGAGATGTTAGCTCTGGACTTTGAACTGGTTTTGTCAGTTATAATAAGACCTTACCTACCTGCGGACTTGATGGAGTGACCTGAAGGTGTAATTTGGTGATTACAACAATAGGAACTCCTAGACTAGTGGAACTAGGTGTGCCGAGTTTGGGTTCGTTTTGTTAGTTATGATGAGACCTTACCACCAGACTTGATGGAGTGACCTGAAGGGGTAATTCAGTAACTACTGCTGGAATTTCTGAACGAGTAGAACTACTTAGGTGTGCCGAATTTGGGCTCCGTTTTGTTAGTTATGACGAGTCCATACCTCCGGACTTGATGGAGTGACCTGAAGGTGTAGATCGGTGATTGCAACTGGAACTCCTAGATTGGTGGAACTAGGTGTGCCGAGTTTGGGTTCGTTTTGTAGGTTATGATGAGACCTTACCACCGGACATGATGGAGTGACCTGAAGGTGTAGTTCGGTGATTACAAGTGGAACTTCTAGACTTGTAGGACTAGGTGTGCCGAGTTTGGGTTCGTTTTGTTAGTTATGATGAGACCTTACCACCAGACTTGATGGAGTGACCTGAAGGGGTGATTCAGTAACTACTGCTAGAATTTCAGAACGAGTAGAACTAGGTGTGCCGAATTTGGGCTCCGTTTTATTAGTTATGACGAGTCCATACCTCCGGACTTGATGGAGTGACCTGAAGGTGTAAATCGGTGATTGCAACTGGAACTCCTAGATTGGTGGAACTAGGTGTGCCGAGTTTGGGTTCGTTTTGTAGGTTATGATGAGACCTTACCACCAGACTTGATGGAGTGACCTGAAGGGGTAATTCAGTAACTACTGCTGGAATTTCTGAACCAGTAGAACTAGGTATGCCGAATTTCACTCCATCAAGTCCGGTGGTAAGGTCTTATCGTAACTAATAAAACGAAACCAAACTCGTCACACCTAGTTCTACTAGTCTAGGAGTTCCATTTGTAACCACCTGATTACACCTTCAGGTCACTCAATCAAGTCCGGTGGTAAGGTCTCATCGTAACTAACAAAACAAACCCAAACTCGGCACACCTAGTTCTACAAGTCTAGGAGTTCCACTTGTAATCACTGAACTACACCTTCAGGTCACTCCATCAAGTCCGGAGGTATGGACTCGTCATAACTAACAAAACGGAGCCCAAATTCGGCACACCTAGTTCTACTCGTTCAGAAATTCCAGCAGTAGTTACTGAATTACCCCTTCAGGTCACTCTATCAAGTCCGGTGGTAAGGTCTCATCGTAACTAACAAAACGAACCCAAACTCGGCACACCTAGTTCTACCAGTCTAGGAGTTCCAGTTGCAATCACCGATTTACACCTTCAGGTCACTCCATCAAGTCCGGAGGTATGGACTCGTCATAACTAACAAAACGGAGCCCAAATTCGCCACCCCTAGTTTTACTCTGCAAGAAGTTCAAATAGCGGTCACGAAAGTACACCTTCAGGTCATGCCATCAAGTCCGGAGGTAAGGTCTCATCATAACCAACAAAACGAGCCCAAACTCGGCACACCTAGTTCCGCTCGTCCACGAGTTACAGTAGTAGGTAAGTTTATATATCCTACTTATTTTTAGCTAAATAAAAACTGTGAGTATAAAAATAATAATTTTATCACTTGTCAAGTACTTATGTTTCCAATTTTTTTTTTCTAATATTTTGTGTATGTACAGCGATCTTTTCAGAATGAGCCGCTGCAAACAGGCGATACAGTGTCCACTCACGACGGCGGCCGAGCGCGGACTGTGGTTTCATCGAAATCTTTGTACAATAAATCAAAGCAGGCACCAACAATAAAATAGCCCTTATTGCAATAGATTATGATTCATCCTTATTACCAAAATATGTGAAAAAATGTGCATCAGTTTTTATTTTTTTTACGACTATTTGTGACATTTTGTTAAAAAATAAACCCAGGGTTTTTTAATTGAATATGTCTGTCATCTTATAGTATTTTTTAAATTTTTTAAATATGTTGATAATAGACCAAAACATGTACCGAAACACAAGCCGGTATCGTTAATTTTGTAGAAAATGGCAACGAAAGTTCGTTTTTACAATATAAAAAACTACTATTTTCAACAAAAGAGTTACAGACATTTGCAGATGAAGAACCAATCTATACATGGTAGTTTTTACTTATATTTGATTTGGTTTAGTTTTGTCACAAAATCTACCGAAAAACACTCTAATTTTGGTTGATTTGCAAACGCGTCCTTAAGCGCAAACGTCGTATTTTTTATTTTATATACAAAGTAAAAATAGTGCGTGTGTTGTGTGTGTGTACGCAATGAATGTGTTTTGTGGAGTGAGAGTGAGTGGAGAGAGACACACATGTGTGTAATATGTGTGTTGTGTGTAATGTGTGTTCACAGCCTTACGACATAAGGGGACTTGGGAACGGACATAAAATTCAGTTCCCTTAGAAAATCATTTTCAATAAGTAGGGATAACTTTGGCCGTTTCTTTAATTTTCCATCCAATTTCCATACTATAATAAAACTCTAACAAGACGTCTGTCTGTACACGCACCACTCAAAAACCTGTGAACAGATTTGGATGGGACTTTAACAGGCAAATAGCTGATGTTATAAGGAGTAACTTAGTCTATTTTTATTTTAGGGTTCGGCTTATTCCACGCGGGTGAAGACGCGGGGAACAACTAGTTTTCCATATATTCATTAGCTAATTTTGTGCCATGAGTGTGAGAGAGAGGGAGAGAAAGTGTGTAAGTGAACCCTTGACCTTTTTTCCACTCTTGGGTATCGCAATCCTATGATTTCTTATAGATGATATCGTTTACGCCAGTCGTAAATTATCTATATTGATAGTAGGGAACAGCGTAAAAAGGGAAAGACGTCATTTACTGCGATCGTCACTTCACTTCTCCAGGCAATCATGAAAATTAGACCATTATTCCTTTCAACAGGAGAGTCCCATTCTTATCATTGGACTGTTGTGGACTAGTGGACAAACTGATGAAAAATGACATAAAAAGAAACATGTGTGGAGTTCACACGTGATAGAAGTGAAACCGTCAGAGAAGGAGCCGAGATAATAAGGAACTCTTTATACCGTATTCTGTTTCATTCTCTCGCAGGCTAAATCCTATAGATGTATATATGTTTGTCTCTTTTTAGTGCAGTTTTTTTCGTTTCATAGACTTTCAAATTACAACGATTCTATCATCGACTTTCAAATTAGTACGATTCTATCATTGACTTTCAGATTACAACGATTCTATCATCGACTTTCAAATTACAACGGTTCTATCATCGACTTTCAAATTACAACGATTCTATCATCGACTTTCAAATTACAACGGTTCTATCATCGACTTTCAAATTACAACGATTATATCATCGACTTTCAAATTACAACGATTCTATCATCGACTTTCAAATTACAACGATTCTATCATCGACTTTCAAATTACAACGATTCTATCATCGACTTTCAAATTACGATTCTATCATCGGCTTTCAAATTAGTACGATTCTATCATTGACTTTCAGATTACAACGATTTTATCATCTACTTTCAAATTACAACGATTCTATCATCGAATTTCAAATTACAACGATTCTAAAGAAATTTCACTTTAAAAAAATGTCTAAAAACTTATTTAATAATATACTGTAGATACTCTAAAACGTTGACAGAACTTACATTACAAATCTCGGACATAGATTGACCGATATCTTTTGAGCAGATCATGTAGTTTTCAATTATGTTATGGTAGCGTTTACCCCACCTTCTCTTACATTTTGTTTTCGATATAATTTCAACTGTAGCTTCCAGAAGGCACTGCTGGTTTTGCCTTCTGCGGTTTACCCACTGGAATACAGTCGTTATAATAAAATTATTAACTATCAGAATTAATTTATTTTTAAAGGTAAGAATGTGAAAATTTTTAAAAGTAAAAGAAACGATTAAAAATAAATTAAAATTAAGAATTTATTGACACGAAAAACACGACTGAAGTAAAACTTCTTTAGCTTCGTCTATATATATATATATATATATATATATATATATATATATATATATATATTAGGTTTGGGCCGAATATTCGGCTAAATCACCGAACATTCGTTAAAGTGCTACTCAAGGTATCCACTGTATTGAAATGGACGAATAGAGTAATGCCATGTCTCATAATTTTAATGTTGAAAGTACATTTTATTTATGGGTTAAATCTACTTGTATAGCGTTATGTCTTTTAGGCACTGTCGATTTATTTCCAATTATAGCAAATTTAACGCTTGATAAAATGTTTAGGAATCAAACAAAGAAACATTACATTACATTAGTACATTTCACTTTACTTTATTCTCTCTAAAATAAGTCACTCATTATTATCATATAATTATCAATTTTCTCTAAGAATAACACAACGAAATAGTTTTTTCTTACAAAAATAGTCAAAACATAAGCAGGTGCCGGCTATTTGCACAGTACTAGACGATGCAATAACATGTCAGGTGTGGCCGGGAAGCGAGGAGCAGGGTCCGGCGCTAATCGCGCGCGCGCGCATTTTTGGTTACAAGTTTCGACATAAATTGGTTGGGTATTGAGATGATATTGCCGAATAATATTCGTGCGAATATTCGGTTCGGTAAATTTTATACCGAACGTTCGGCCGAATATTCGTATTCGGTAAAATCCATATACGGCCCATCTCTAATATATGTATATATATATATATATATATGTATATATATATATATATATATATATATATATATATATATATATATATATATATATATATATATATATATATATATATATAGGTAGGTATATGTTTAAATCGTCCGTCCAATAAAAGAGTCTTGTGCAGATTTTTCTTCTGAATTAAATATCTAATAAAGTTTATTTTTCCCTTTCTATCGCATATGTATAATATGTACATGTATATACATATATTAATTTTCTATAAAAATTTAATTTTATTATTGGCTTCCTTCCATAATTTGTTATTATTCACCCGAAAAGTCACAAAACATGAACTTTAAAATGAATTCAGATTTTTTTACACTTTAAACGTAGAATATTTAATGTATGGAACAAAATATTAATTCACAAATGGTTCAAAACGAAATAAAAAAAAAAAATTTTTTTTCAAAAAATATGTATATTTTAATATTATTTGGATAATTATAACCGGGTAAGTGATTTGTTTTTTTTTTTTTTTTGTAAAAAAAACGTTATATTAGGATTTTAACCTGTATCGTGGGGGTTTTCACCATGTGTAAGTTTACATACATAAACTTCACAAGGACAAACATCCAGACCCAAAACAATAATTTGTACCCACTAATACAAATACTTTTTTCGTGCAGGATTCGAACGCGGGATAGGGAGACCTCGATTGCACAGACTACTAGCGTACAGTAGCAGCTTGCTGATGTGTTCCGTATGGTGAGTGGAGAGAACTGGAGATCAAAGACGGAGGCACCTGCATTTTTAGGATGAGCCAGCATCCACTTACCATCAATTGAACTGTGAGCTCCTTATTGTTTATAAAATCCACTACAATTTCAATAAAAATAATAATTCAATACATGTTTAATTATTATTTTACGTCATTATATTTAGAAGTAGTCCCCCATCCTGCTATGGTGGCGACAGTGCCGGGTTTTTCCAACGATTGACTTTGGTTGTTATAGCATATTGGTTTTGGAATGAAATCGCATCCTTTGATCCTCTTTCTGAAGTTGAAACCTTCCTCGACCTTGACAACTGCAATGTCATTGTTCATCCATCTGATATTGTCGTTTTCGTGGCCATCGAACATGTAATCTGGAAGAATCAGATAATAAAAAAAATCTAAGTGTCTATGTAGTAGTGGGTTGTATATTATGAACACCTAGGTGTATGTAAATACCAGTGGGTTAAGAAGCGGCATATCAGACGTAGATAAAGTCATCCGGTGAACACAGGCGTTCATCAGTTGACAAACATTACTTGGAAGTTCGATCCCCGCCGGCACCAATGAAATTGTTAATTGCAATTTTAAGTGCTGATTTACCACGTGCTCGGCGGTGAAGGAAAACATCGTGAGGAAACCTGCATGTCTGAGGAATAAGAAAAAAAATATTTCGAAGACATGTGAAGTTCGTCAACACGCATTTGGGCAGCGCGGCAGACACTTCCTTGCCCTAAACCCTCTCAGAAATGAGGGGAGGCCTGAGCCCAGCAGTGGGACGTATATAGGCTGTAACTTAACTTAACTTAACTTAACTTGGAAGGTTTATCTATGCTAACGACTGGGCAGACTGGTTTAAGAGTGCATGGGCAATGCTGCACCAACAGCTTGTCAAATGTTGGTTCAGGATTTTTAAGATGTCCTGTCATCAGTAGGTCGCCAAAACCCAGTATGTAATGCCAATTTGCTGGTGAGGTTAGTAACATAAAGACGTGATACATCATACTTAAACTTATTGCTTACATATAAATGCATTATTGAATTTTAGTATATCTTACTCACTCTTAGGAACACATTTCCAAACCGCTTTCTTTGCTCCATTTTTGATACACTGATTACTGTATCTGTCGTCTTCATCTGAATACCTGGAATTTTAATAATTTTATAATAAAACATAATAGTCTACTGCTGAGCCAGTTCTTCTTCCGGATCAGGACGGTCCTTTGTCTTTGTGATAGGAATATATGGCTATTAGTAAATGGGGCCTTAGATGGAAGTTTAGGGGCCAATTTGTAACTTGTGAATAGTCACGGACCAAATTAAGGGTAACCTTACGCGCTAGCATGTATGTATGGGTATATGGATATGAAAGAAGTTAGAGAGGTGGTAAGGATCGTGCCGAATGAAGTCCGGAATATCTATTTACCCTGTGATTGACAGGCGTGAGAGTTAATATAGCGAATGACCCGCCAAAACTTCACTAAGGTGTGATCTGTTCACGTGGCGTCATTTAGATTTTTTTTCAAATAATCATTAATAACCATTTATTTTATAAATTTATCTATTTCTCAAAAAAATCTTTTTCATTAAGTTTTTTGTATTAAATAAACTTTATATAACTACTGGCATCGCTCTCACTTTGACAGCATACAGGCAACTGAACAGACAGATCTCCAAATGCATGCGGCGAGACTTACGCAACTTTAATACTGCTCGTATTAAAGAAGCGATCGAGCGGAACCAGGGCTCCAAAGTCCTTGCCAGTGATCTGTCTGCCCATAAGAGCCAACTGTCAAGGCTGAAGACTGAGTGTGGCAGCATCGTTTCCGGGACACCTGAGATTTTGAGTGAGATTGAGAGGTTCTATGGGCAGCTGTACACATCATCGTTGGAGCCACACGCAAGTGTGAGTAACGATCCAAGAGCAAGTCTTATCCGACACTATTCCGATGATATCCCGGACGTCAGTCTAAGCGAGATTAGAATGGCTCTCCAGCACCTTAAAAACGGCAGGGCCCCAGGCGAGGATGGAATTACAGCGGAGCTTCTGAAAGCGGGTGGAACACCGGTACTTGAAGTCCTTCAGAAGCTCTTCAATTCCGTCCTCCATGGTGGCACTACTCCAGAGGCGTGGAGCAGAGGTGGTCTTGTTCTTTAACAACGCTCTCTTGAAGAACTACAGACCAATTTCCCTTCTGAGCCGCGTCTACGTGCTGTTTTCGAGAGTCATTACGAATCGTCTCGCACGCAGACTCGACGACTTCCAGCCTCCCGAACAAGCCGGATTTCCGAAAAGGCTTCAGTACCATAGACCACATACATACCCTGCGGCAGATTGTACAGAAGACTGAAGAGTACAATTTGCCACTTTGCCTGGCGTATGTGGACTATGAGAAAGCCTTTGATTCCGTCGAAATTTGGGCTGTGCTGCAGTCCCTTCAGCGGTGCCAAGTTGACTGTCGGTATATCGAAGTGCTGAAGTGTTTGTACAGTAGGGCTACGATGGCTATCCGAGTACAGAACCAGAGCTCGAAACCTATCCAACTGCAGAGAGGTGTAAGACAGGGTGACGTTATATCCCCGAAACTCTTCACCGCTGCTTTGGAAGACGTTTTCAAGCTACTGGACTGGAAAGGATACGGTATTAACATCAATGGCGAGTACATCACTCACCTTCGATTTGCCGACGATATAGTCCTTATGGCAGAATCGCTGGAGGACTTAAGCACTATGCTCAGTGACCTCAATAGTGCCTCCCAACGGATAGGTCTTAAGATGAACATGGACAAAACAAAGATTATGTTTAATGTCCATGTCACACCTATGCCGGTAGTTGTTGGGAGCACTATGCTCGAAGTTGTTGACGAGTACGTTTACCTGGGACAAATATTCCGACTAGGTAAGTCCAACTTCGACCGAGAGGTCAATCGACGGATTCAACTCGGCTGGGCAGCGTTCGGGAAATTACGACATATCTTCTCGTCAGGTATACCTCAATCTCTGAAAACTAAAGTGTACAACCAGTGCGTGTTGCCAGTGATGACTTACGGATCAGAGACGTGGTCCTTCACTGCTGGCCGTATGAGGACGCTCAAGGTCGCTCAGCGAGCTATGGAGAGGGCTATGCTCGGAGTTTCTCTGCGTGATAGACTCAGAAATGAGGATATCCGCAGTAAAACCAGAGTGACCGACATAGCCCAACGGATTAGTAAGCTGAAGTGGCAATGGGCCGGCCATATAGCTCGAAGAACCGATAACCGATGGGGAAGAAAGGTTCTCGAGTGGCAGCCCTCGTACCGGTAGGCGTAGTGTAGGGCGACCCCCCACTAGATGGAGTGACGACCTGGTAAGATATGCAGGAAGTCGATGGATGCAGGTGGCTCAGGACCGTGCTTTGTTCGTCGTGCATTACTTGGGGGAGGCCTATGTTCAGCAGTGGACTTGTGAAGGGCTGTGATGATGATGATGATGATCGCTCTCTATCTGTTCGTGAAGATACAAATGAACTATCACTCGGACAGACGTACGAAATTTTTACAAAATTTTTATTCGTGTCTTAATGACAGAGTCATAATGATAAACACTCAATGAAAGGCTGTTATTTTTATATTACGTTAAGACACTTTAATTTGTGTATAGAGTAGGCATAGAAGTAGATTATGTTAAAGTCGTGGATCGCAAACGCAACCGCGGTTTGTTGTGTCGTGATCGCCATTATGTTTTTTTTAATGATGTGAAAAACGAACTTATGGACGCCACACACGGTCAGTTCAACTGATCATTCTACCAATTCAAACTAGGATTGTTGATATTTTTTAAAATATCGGATTTTAGATATATCGATAATTATAAATATATCAATATCGGAGTTTTATATATAAGTTTATTTATCAGTTTATCGAACATCCGATATTGTAAAAAATATCAACAGCCCTAGTATGAACTGATTAGTTGGAATGATCAGTTGAACTGACCGTGTGTGTCGTCCATTACAGTTCGCCCACCTGATACTGATCATAGACATGTTATGTCTATGTTATAGCTTTCACGGAAGACGTACGCAAACGAGTGACTTTTATGTGATGGTAAGGTGACCGCTACTGACATAATCGCAAGTGTGCTCCCGCCCTTTGAGAAAGGAGTAGGCACTTTTCTTGAAGGTTTTTTAGTCAATATCGATATAAAAGAGAGCAGATTCCAAAGTGATGAGGCAAAGCAGAACACTTCTGGAACATCGAACAGTGATACGATGATATTAGCGCATACTTTTTTTAGCTATTATTTTGATAGATTCAATAAGTATGTACTTGAAGTTATCACCATCGGACATCAAGCTCGAGCGTGCACTCAGCCGCCCGAATTGCCTCTGGGTAAGTGCTGGACTGAAAACCAGTGCTATTATTGATTCCGGTCCGTTTCGCAGTTTCATGTTGCAGCAAAGGGTATTTTAAATGTTTTTTCTTAAATTTATAATGTTGTTAAATTACTTTAAATTTAGTTTTACATTTATTTTTGAATTTAATTACTCTTTCTTGTTGTGTTGCGTGCATAAACTGGAATAAAATGCATTTCTTTCTTTTTTCTTTCTTTTATTATCATCATCAATATAGTCCTATAATAGAGCACGTCCATGAACCACCTGCATTCGTCCATGAACTTATTATGATTGTTGATGTGATATTACTTATGGTTGTCTATGGGTCACAGTATTCGCTAACCAAGTGATTTGATTTTTTTATTTACCTATTGTTTTGTTTTACCAGAAGTGGATTGTTAGCTTGTTTATCACGTTTGGTGTCATATAAATATTGATTAAGCTCACTTATAGGTCCCGGAAACCACGTAGAAATGTTCAGCGTCCTGAATACAAGCAGCCGACGTCAAAATATAGTCTTCATGGATGATCACTCCGCCGCACAACCATGTGCGGTAGATGGTCTTCTTTTTGTTGCCATGAGGCATTTTTAGGTATACCTAAAATTACTCAACTTTTAAAATAATAATAATATACTATTTTTAAGTAGGTATAGAATAAAATCGATTTATATACTTTTATTAATAACTAGAGGTCTGCCCCGGCTTCGCACGGGTGATATCTGGATTCCAGATCAGCTAAACTAAAACTAAAACAGCTAAGCTAAACTACCGGGTCCAACTATGCCTATATACCCTTTGCGGAAGTGCACGCAATATGTTACCAAAACTTTACCGCAATTTGATGCACGTTATGACAGCGTATAAAAACGAGCAAACAATTTTAAAATATTTTAGACGTAATCTTAATAAGTATCAAGCCTACATACGTCCCACCGATTGAGTTAGGTTTCCTCCAATATTCGAGAAAGTTTAGCTGAAAACTTCGACTAGCTGTCACAGTACGTATTGGAAGACTTCTAATGTACTCGGATTATTAACTAGCTTTTGCCCGCGACTCCGTCCACGCGAAAAGCTGTCATTTTAATTCTGAACAGCGCCCCGTGTGTCCACCGTAGTGCGGATAGAATTCCTGTTAACTCACTGTATCACACTTTGAGTCTTATTACATTTCTAATTTATTTAATTTTCTGTAGTCCTAAAGTGTCACAAGGGATTTCAGCTATACCTCAACCCTTTATACGAGGTAGAGCCACGCTGCAGCCATATTATTATGGTTGTAGCACGAATGGGTCTACTCGACCGGGGAAGGACCACGCTTATATGTCACAGCATTTTCATATGGTGAGGTAGAGATCTCGGCCAAGGAACGAGGATTTTTTGGTCGCGTTTTGATTCTTAATCAAGGATAAATGTAGATGTCTATGGGCCACAGCATCCACTTACCATCAGGTGGACTATGCTGTGTGACTGTCTGTCATAAATATTCTATAAAAGAAAACCTAATGTTCTCGTTCCTAAACGTTGATATTTCTTGATTTATGCTTTCATTTTTTTGACACAGTGGATTCACAGGTATTATCTTTAGATTTTTCTCGAGTAATTTTTTTCTAGGTGGTAGGAATGTTTTTTTTTGTCTAGGAGTCCATCTGGGTAGGAATCCTATTACCTTTATATGTTGCCAAATACTACCAATACAATACTGTGTTCCGGTCCGAAGGGTAATG